ATCTCGACTTCTAGGCATTGCCGTGATCAATGCGGTCCTAAAAACACGTCCATCTTATCGAATAGATTGTGCGGTGCTCGCCGTGATCCATTGGCCGAGTAATGAACACGTTACCTTACGGCAGACGATGTTAGGTAAGAATCGGCAAAGTATGTGCTACCTTCGGATAATTTCCAATGAGATGGAGCTGCTGACACACAAGTGCGCGAGAGGCACGACAGAGCGTATGCTACAGTCTATTCCCACTTTCTCGTCGCCATTTTCCGCGACGATGACTTGCTTGGCTTGCCACGTACTATATGTGCTGAGCTGGGCTCAGCAGTATTTATGTCATGTGTGTTATGTTGCAAGTCTCAGTCGTCATAGTGTGGTCAAATGAGCACTGAATCGTAGTTGTGGCGTGTATCTCCCCATTTCGGGCATGCAAGGAAAGCTGGGATTCGGACCTTGGCAAGTGACATGCCTGGGCAGCAGTAAACGGTTGCCCGAGAATACCAGTTCACGCTGCACACCGTATACACGATGGTGCTGCGTGATAGGCTGCGCACGTTTTCCAACAGTATACGCGGGGTGTCTACTAGCTCATCACGTTATATGCGACTTCTAGCGTCGATGAAGATAGCCGTCTGGTAAAAAACAAGAACAACTGATACTCTGGACACGGAATAGATTTGTAGCTGGGGCTATTTAAATCGCGTTTTCCCCTGTGCAGTGATTCAGCTTCCGAAATGGTGTTTGTTCGTCATGAAGAGATATTTGTATTCTTTCGTCCAGCAGCCGTTTCAATCCAAACTACGCCCGCCCAATGGTTTGTTGCCGCCGGTATCCATGCACAATTTACATAAAGCCATGAGGCATGTCTCGCTCAAGATCTACATTTTGCGGAATCAGGCTTTGACACTGGCCGATGAGTCGGACTTGGTAAAAGGCCCGATATGTCAATTGGAACTGAGTTTTCTTTTGCCGCCTCATCAGCTGATGTACTCGCGATATGTATGTAGCTTCTCTGATGAGCATTTGTCGAGTCTACGAAACGCGAACGACTTGTGAATTCCTTCGATAAACAAATTAGAGAGATATGTTGAGTTTATCCACGTACGCGAACGACCCGCTGTATCCCCAATATGATGGGTGCTCACATGCAAGCATCCACTCCTCGCCGTTATATAATATTAGTGCCCGAAAACAGACCACGTATCTACCGGCCCCAGTGCCAGTGCTTTTCTACTCGGCTTCTAAGATCGGTCACCAATTACTGAACCAGCACAACAAAAGGCTTTTGCGCTGTTATGAAACGAACAAAAGGTACACAAACCAGTACGAGAAAGAAGAGAAAGCTTTGACCCTTGCCTGATATGAATACAGACAAAACTAATGGACTACATTTGCAAACTCGTGTCTTCTAGCTACAGCACTAAACATTTGCTTTAACGCAACACTAGAAGCCTAGATGCACCAAAACGCAGCTAATCGACAAAGTAAACTAATTATTTAGTGCCTATTACTAAACAAATTTTATACGCAGAAATGAATATGATAAAATTGCTCTACAAAATGAGTAAATACAATATGCGCACATTGATCCGATCTAAATACATCACCGATGTTTACTATGCGTGCGAGCACAAACCTGCTTCAAATAATACAATACAATCATTAGTTTGCCGTGAATGTCCATATAGCCGTCATAAAATATAGAAAAATTGAATACTTCCGATTGTTTTATAATTACTGGACTGATTTGTGATAGCCATAAATTACTATCTTAAACATCACAGAGGCTAATAAATCTCTATCTAAGTGCGCGACTGCTTATAAGTGAGCGTGAAATTGATAGCGCCGCCACACAGACACAAAATGCTTGTCCAATGTCGACTTTGCACTTCACAAAGACCGTAAAACAGTAAAAATGATGGTCCACATCGATACATGTTACAACCAAAATTAACTGCGTTCACAAATCGTTGGGTGCTGTCGTCAACTGTGCGTTTCACTCGGGTGACTCTAATCGAAGACGCTTTGTCTAGCCGAATATTGTACAAATATTGACCCCAGCGTTCATATTATCTACTTCCATAGATTGATCTTAATTCGGTGAACGATTTTTGCGAAATCAAATTCCCGAATTCTCACAAGACGAGCACAACCCAGCAGTCGATGACACCATTAATATAATGAACCCGGCGAATATTTCAGTCGACAAGTTTCTGTCGGCGAAGGTTATGGTCAGTTAAAACGTTTCTCGATAAATTTTTAGTCTTCGCAAGCTTTGATAGGCGATTATTGAAGTCGACAAATGCTTTGGTCGACGAATGCTTTGATCAGCAAATGATAGAATCGGCGATACCCGAATCGTAAATTCTTCGGTCGGCTGCTTCCATCGATATAAAAATAGTGAGCAAATATAACGTGTAGGAAGTCAATATGTTTTCCAATATATCCAAATGCTTTATTTGTTGAACATAGGATAGAGGTTGGAGGTCGTTACGACCCAGCGATATAGCATAAGTACAAAAACACTGAAACGTCCTATTTTCTCAAAGTCAAAGACACGCGTACATCTTTTCGGTAAATTTTTGCGTGAGCAATGTTATGCCCATCGTCAAACCGGATTGACATATATTGTAGACACTTTTGTCTCGTAGCAGCACAATGTCAAGTCAGACCGGTCTGGCCAATCGAAACCAACAAGCGTTGAGATCAGAATTGAACGGGCCGGTAGCCACATATACGTCACCCTATAAAGTTTACAGTGACTAGACAATCATCAAAAAGGAGAGATCTCATGAAACTCAATGATCGACAAGCCGGTGAAAATAGTCGAGAGAACAGTATATGTTGCAGTTGGCGTATATTAGATTAGCTGCATGTGTAACGGGGTGGCCCTTTATGTTATTATCATAATGAGAAATGGCTACAAAGAGTATAATGTTGAATTTTTCTGTTAACACTACCGCCACCAAATAAATTAATATGTCTGAGATGACCCAATGTTCTACTCACTGGTTGATATTGTGCTTGTATTAATCCGCCAATCGCTGCTAGACGTGCGCAATGGGGGGTGAGTAGACATCATCATTCGTTTGGTTAGATTGATACAATTAAGTCAGGATAAACAAAGACATAAGATTGATAGGAGTTTATTGTATTAAATAACACTTTAGCTTTTACCAGAGACTAGCGTGTTCACTTAGTCTCCTTTCCTTCCTCTGTGTTGGTGCAACATATAGCAGGGCACTGACTATCACTGTTGTCAGTAGAATTGAGCTCCGTACTGGTCAACCAGTGCGTTGCCACCAGTGCCCCGTTACACTACGCCCACCCTAGTCACAGACGAAGGGGTCTGATCTGCTAGGATATGTTATTGGGCACATTAGTGACCAACGAGGACAGTACGTGAAGAGAATCGACGTTAACTGGTAACCAATCGCCATTTGACATAGTGTTTCGTGCCAATATTCGTTGACGTTATTGTTCCCTCTTATTCCCTTATAGGGAATGGGTGTCTTTCTGTCGAGCTTCTAGATGGGAACTTGTCTCCATCGTAGTGGTTATTGTCTGTGAATTCCATATTCAAGCAACAATAGCAGATCGACCATTTAACCTTCATTAGTGCGCGAGACTAGACGCACCGCTAATAAACCGTGAGAAAATGACTTCGTCGACAAGTACACGAACGTAATTTGTCGAATGCAATGATCAGAAATTGTTGGGTGTTCAATTTGAAAGGTAATAACATTGCTTTGGTAGAAGCGGTGCACGCTCTGAGCTCGCCCGAATATTAGTGAATAAGTCCTATGTTTTGGGGTCAGGCTCAATAGGACGGCGGTGAGCAAAAAATCACAAAAGAATGTTGTTCTGTGAGTGATTTTAGTAGAGTATACCTGGTCAACCTGGTCAGTCTGCTTCCTTAAGTTTATTGAGGCAGCCCTTTCTAAATGGTAATATAATATAATGTCTAACTAAACAGTACGATATGCAACTTGACGTAGTCGACTTGTCGTGCCGTTGAACATGTTTGTTGCAGTGCTGAGAAACAAAGTGAACGCTCGATACATTTTACTCTTCTACCTCTATTGCAACAAGTGCATAACGTCTAATTCCTATGATTGCTACATCGAGCGTACTTGTCGACGTAAGGAATAATCCTACGGTGTTGACCTCCGCTTCGGCAGCCACGCGCGAGTGTCTTTGCAATGCCTTTGACAAATGTCTCACTTCTTTTCTGTTCTACAAAGTTGGAGCGAGTCGTGATGGTGAAGAACACGTACCAGAATAGCTCGCGTCCCTCACTGATAAAGATTGAGCTGTCACTGTCGTGCTGCGGTGCATGCGTGACCAGGAGAATGACACGAGACTGTCTGTAATGGCAAAAAAAGTAGGGACGACGGGTCGAACCATAGGTAGATGACGATAGCTAAATCGACCTACTAACATGCTTCGTGAACAAGAACTTATCGCTACACCTGTCAGTTGTCAATCGACCTTTGTCGGTCCTTTTACATTATCCCGCAACTAAGGGCTCGCACTTTTTAAACATGCGGCTGTATCTCAGCTTGAGCAGTCGTGTCACACATGTTGCGATGAGGACTCCCGTATACCCTTTTTGGTTCTTCACGCCTTATTTGGTTACGATCAAAGCTTTTGGTTCAGTGTTTGTACTATACGCCATGCAAGGCAACAATATTAAAGCACAGTATTACATATTGACCAAAGCGAAGAACTCATTGCGTAGCCGGATGCTGCAACTAGCCCACAGAATTGGCATCAATGTCTAGAATCGGCGTCAATGTCCAGAATCGGCATCAATGTCCAGAATTCGCATCAATGTCCAGAATCGACATCTCATTGACGATGCATTGGACCCTGCTTCGACAAGAGACCTGGAGGAGAATGCAACGCCACATTATCCTTGTTTACGTCTTGTCTGACTTGCAATATGTTGACTTCGGAGATCCACGTACAACCTTACAGGTGCCGCGTCAACCCTGTTGAGAAAATCACTCGTCTAGGAAACTAAAATCGCAGTGCTTGGAGACGTGGTCAGCTGCCATGTCTATCCGTTCAACATCGTCACGTCGGATCTTGGCCGTGAACTGAGAGATCCGCGCCGTGATCGTGTAACTATCTGCTTTGTCGGGTGACACGTAGATACATGGAATGTTATCCGCGTCAAGACGCTGAGCGAGTTCTGCGCTTGGTGGGTTCCAACCGGTAAGAATCAGACCCGACTTGAGGTTCCCGCCATAAGTAGAAGACGCCTCTTCATTGCCTATGATCGCGTCAATCACGTCCTTTCGGCCGCTATGCTGTACATGCCAGTCAATCAAAGTCGAGACCCGCTAGGTGAAGGACAACAGAGCACGTCTACCGTACCGTGATTACGAGTTGATTCGGGATCGCCTTGAACAGATTGTTGCCATCTACAGGGGCCAGAGCCAGTCGTGTGCTACTAAAGTAGCGCAGACTAGCGTTTTTGCCTGTCATATCGTGGGAAGCAAAGTACAGTACACTCAGCTCTTGCGGGCGATATGCACAAGTGCCGACAACGCTCACCAGAAATGAGTTCCGACTTGAGCAGCTTCGTGTAGTCTGCCATCGTCGGGCACGATAGATCTTTCAAGTACGGAATACAACCCACGAGCGGGACGTCCCAGCGTTTCAGTGCTCGCGAGTAATAGTCCTGCAGCCAACAGCATATACAAAATGCTGGTCATGAGACGCGTACCGATCGAGTATTCGCGCTAACAGCACGACGAGCTGTACCTTGATCATGTCCATCTTTTTCGGATTGACCTTGTTGAGGATCACCCCACGTAGCCGGACGCCATTCTGCTTGAGCATCTCCCGATTCATCGCCAGCTGGTCGAACGACGAGCCCAATCCACCGAGAGCTACGCAAACTGCGTCAAGTTTAAGCTCCGCTGCAGCAACGACAGCATGAAGTGATTCGTTCAACACGCTGTAGCAATTGACAATGTACTGTAGCTACCTGCGACTTGTGCATTGTTGAGCTCACAAATGGAGCCCACTCCCGTGTGTCCCGTTCCTTCACAAATGAGAAAGTCGCTCTGTTCGTACAGCTTTCGGTGCGCGCGGCGGATAGAATCCATGAGCTGCTGCGACGTGACTTTGCCGTCAATGAAGTCCCGCGTAAAGCCGTCGGGAAAGAGAACGGGCGACATGTCCTTGTACTCTTGCACAAGTCCAAAGTGCTCTTTGAACAGAAACGCGTCCTGGGTCATTCACGACAAACACTTGCGTCAGAGGAACTCCATCGATAAAGTGGAAAGCCATACACAATGCACGTATGTCATCGTGGTCCTCCTACAAGCACTAGTAGTAGCAGCAACAGCAGCAGTCGCTGCCCTAGTTCTACACGCGACCACGTGATAAGAAGTACAGGAGCACACGAGCCCCTAGTAGTGATACCACCATTTGTGCAATACATTTCTAGTGGTAAAGAGAGAGTCCTAGTGGCAGTCGTCGTAGTCGACCAACCGCTTTGGCACCTTATCGACTCGAAGTCCACCGCCCACGGCCACGTGCTGCTGCCCCACGGGCTTGCAGTACGCCAGCTGCTTACCCGATCCCTGGAGCGTGGCCTGCAGCGTCTTGATGAGCCCGAGACTCAGCGTCGTCTTGCCCACGTGTTGCCCCGTTGACAGCACGAGCAGGTGCCGCATCATCGCAGGATATCCGACTTGGGCTTCTGGTTCTCCCTCTGGTGCACTACGTTCGTTCGGAGCTGGTGGACGTACTGCTTTGTGTTACACGCGACCGCTCGAGTCGCCAGGACTGGGTTTTCTTTTTGACCAATCCCTGGACGGCATTCAGCGCCAGCGGTCGCCATGGCCGAATCTAAGCTGCACCGCTGCGTCGTGTGCTCCGTGGACATGACGTCGTGGCGCGTAGTCGACCGCGAGACGCACGTGAACGCGTGTCTCGATGACGCGGTCGTTGACGAGCGATACGACTGTCCCACTTGCAGCAAAGAGCTCTCCCACTGCGATGAACGGCAGCGCTTGGAGCATGTGAACCGCTGTCTGGACGCGATCGAGATGAAAGGCAGCGACACGAGCGCGAACGAACCGTATGGAGCTATAGAAGAGGCGAAGAAAGAAGAAGAAGAAGAAGAAGAAGAAGAAGAAGAAGGGACGGAGGAGCAGGAGGAGGAGGAGGTGCTGCTGCTGACGCAGGTGGCGGAACAAACGCAGGAGGAAGCCGAGACGAGCGACTGCGAGTACATTGGAGCCAGTTACGTGTGCAAAATCTGCGGTATCGACATGTCAAGCGTCGAGCTGATGCAGCGCATTCGTCATGTGAAGTCGTGTGGCCAGAAGTTTGGTGTGAGAGCTGCTGATATGGCAGACGTTGAGCAAGCGGAGACGATCGTGGCGAGACTGGACGAGAAGGCCACGTCGAATGCGTTTGTTGTCATGATGCAGTCTGCGTCTGGAGACTCAGTGACACAGACTGCTGCCATAGGTGGGTGTGGAACGAATGCATTGCTACGGCCGGTGTATGAACTGACTAGACGGGGTCTTGTTTTGCGTGGATACAAGCAGAGCGATCAAATGTGTTTGACGTCTTGATGCGGAGTTCCAAAACCGCTGCTGTGCTCAATACTCGGAAACGCCCCGTGCCTTTCAAGTTCACACGCAAAGCGATGCAACGACGACGCCTGCTGTATCCTGATTACAAGTGTGTCAAGGGAACGAACCCGCCGTTCATAGTCGACGGGTTTTACTACGCTTGCAATCAAAACTCGAGCATTTACTTTCTCACGCACTTTCACTCGGATCACTACGGCGGAATCACTAAGGTGAGTTGTGCCATGACCTTGTGTGTGTGTACGTGCTTCTGATGTCACGCCTTATTTTGGTAGGACTTTGACTGTGGCATTATCTATTGCAACGAAATCACCGCCAAGCTTGTCGTCCAGGAGCTGGGAGTCCAGCAAAAGTATGTTCACCCCGTGGGAATGAACGCACCTGTGCTCGTCGGTGACGTGCAAGTGACGTTCTTGGACGCTAACCATTGTCCTGGTTCAGCCATCATCCTGTTTCGTCTCAAAGACGGGAAAACGTACCTGCACACTGGAGATTTTCGGTTCCACCGGAAGATGCTAAACTATGCAGCTCTACAGCCATTCATTCCGACGGGCGATGAAACCATTGATGACAATGGTAAGATCGTTGGTATCCGCCGATTGGACGGCGTGTATTTGGATACGACCTATTGTGATCCTAAGTACACGTTTCCAGCTCAGCAAGCTGCTGTGAATCATGCACTCGAGCTCATGGACAAGCACTGGAAGCAGGAAAAAGTGCTGTATCTGTTTGGATCGTACACAATTGGCAAAGAGCGCTTGTTCATGGAGATCGCACGCAAGTATCAGCAGAAAGTGTGCGTCTCGAAAGCAAAGATGAGGATCATCGAAACCTTTGGTTGGCCTCGCGAAGAGATGCAGCTGTTGACGACAGAATCGGCTGCGACCAAGTACGATATGCATTTTTTGTTGCTGAACGGCATGACGACCAACAGCGTACTGATTATGCCGCTTTGATGGCACATGTTGACAGTCTGCATGTCGTTCGTATGCAAGATCTTCAAATGGACAATCTGACGGTGCTACTGGCAAAGCATCGTCTGCTTTATCGATCGATCGTTGCGTTCCGCCCGACTGGATGGACGTTTAGTAGCAAGAACCCGCGGTCGATGTCCACGTGTTGTTCCGATCCTACAGGCAAGATTCGCATCTACGGGCTTCCGTACAGCGAGCACTCGAGCTTTGCTGAGCTGTGCGACTTCGTCAAAGTTGTGAACCCTTGCGCGATCATTCCGACGGTATAGCTGCTCGTTGTTTGTCACCGCCACCACTTCCGCTAACCCGTGCATGTGTTGCTGCTCCAGGTGAACTGCAGTACTAAGCGAAGTGCGACCAAGCAGGTGAATGCCTTGCGTCAGGTCGCTTTCCACACTATATCAGCGCTTTTCAAGCAGCAGCACCAGCAGCTGAAGCAGCAGCTAAAGGGATGAAAAAGACGCACCAGCAAACGTTGAGGACACGAAGACAAGGGCCCGCATGTGCTTGCACGTTGATCAGAAGCCAACACCTGACTCGGACATTTGTGACGCACATGTTCGTGCCAAACAGTCGTCATCTGCAGCAGTAGCTGCATGTTGTCGTCTTTTTCCACGCACATGTAGACGAGTATCTAACACACAACAGGACACTGGACGTCGGCCGACGCTCTTCTTCGTAAGTGATGAGCACTCTCACGTGTTCAGACTGTCAAGAACTGCCGATGCCTCAAGCACGAGACCAGCGATGGAAGCACCGGATGAGATGGTCACAGCTCTAAACCGCTTTGTGTTCCCCCTCTCTCGCTCTAGCATCTACCAGGCTCCAGACCAAGACCAATTGACAGCACAAGCGACGCCTGGCGTCTCGGGTTCTCGACTGCAACGAAGCACTCGACTACATGCGCGATCGCGGGTGACGGTAGTTGCGCATCTCTTTGGGCAAGGACGTCGCAACGAGGTCGTCGAGGCTGTGGATGCCATACTTGTTGGGCGCGCCCGTGCGCCACAGCTCGCGGGCGTTCAGCTGCCCGTCCGGCGTGAGGAATTCCACGCCCATGTGGCGCTGGTGCCAGCGGATCATAAAGTCGATCCGCGGCGTGGGCAAGTTGCCCAGCATCTCGGCCATGTTCTTCAAGATGCACAGGCCGTAGGGAATGTCTTCCCAGAACAGCCGCGAGTTGACTGCAGGATGGTACGCCCCCTTTGCCACTTCCGTCAGCGGCGTGGCACATCCGGCGTAGCCCAAGTTCGTGCGGAAGATCTGCAGGAGGGACGAGCGATCGGCCACGTCGTTGCCGTAGTGCTGCACGATGCGGTCGCCAATGGGCAGCACGTCCGACAAGTCGAGGGCTGGAAACCGCTGCAGCAGCGCGTGTTTGACCTGCTGCAGCTCGTTGTCGAGCATTGCGAGCTGCTCGGCCGAGAGCGCATCAAAGTCGGCGTCTAACACGTCACGAGTTCAGCGCGTCAGTACGTGAGGCTATCCCGAGCAAACACAGGAGAGGAGGACGGCCAAGTGCGCGCAGGTGTACGTACACAATGTGAGGCCCTTGCGGGTCTCGAGCTCCTCGAGCGTATACGTCTTGTGGCCGTCCCAGTCGCGGAAGATGGAGTAGTAGCGCGCTGGGTGGATGATCTGGTTGGACGACGTGAGCGTGAGGTTGAGGAAGTTGGCCACCGTCTTGCACGGAATGTCGAAGAGCGTCTGGACGAGCGTCGCGGCTTCGTGTCTGCGCTCGACGGGGTAGCACGCCACGTAGAGGCACTGCTTGGGTCCAATGATGCGGCACTTGCGGCTGCACACACAGAAGCAGCAGCAGCAGCAGCGCTCGTACGCGTCAGCTTATTGTCCAGCACGTGGGACGGCCGCAGCAGCATTCACTGGTTACGGACACGTACCCGTACTCGGTCGCCTTGCAGATCCACGGGATGTTCTGCAGACCAAAGAGCTGCACAACACGCAACAACAAGTGACGCAACACGCGACAACAAGCGGCAGTCAGTGTCGTAACCACACACACACACACACATACGCATGTGCAGTCCACTTGCGGCTGCGGACTCCGTACCAAGTCGACGTTGGCGAGTCGCTCTGTTCCCAGCGCCTTGTGCACGGCCCAGTCAAAGCCGCCCTGGGCGAACAACGTGCCGAGCTGGACGCCCTTCTTGAGGTACGGCTTCACGTGCTCGAGGACCAGTGGGTGGACGTGGGCCGGCGCAGCGACAATCACAACGTCCGACTGCGGGATGACGTGCTGCGCGTGCGACGACACGCGGTGCAGACGGCCCGTGACAGTCCCTTTACCTGCCCAGCTACTGCCGGCCGTGCTGAGCTCGAGCGTCGACGCCCAGCGGTCCGGTTGGCGCGTCAGCACCTGCACGCGCACGCCTTTGGACGCCAAGTACGCGGCCGCGACGTGGGCGCCGTTGCCGCCGCCGCAGATCGTGACAATGCCCACAGCTGCAGCAGCAGCAGCAGCAGCAGGAGGACAGGACGAGACGTGCGGCTCGTGCTGAAGGGAGCGCGTCATGGCAAGAAGAGGCGAAAGGAGGAGCGAGAGAGCGAGCGAAGCGGTGTGGTGGTCGTCTGTCACGCGGTGTATTTCGAGTACTTAGTGCTCATCGGATTAGCAGCAGCGAGTGCGCGGGCCAAGTCGATGGTGGGGAGCGAGCGAGCGAGCGAAGGAGCCCCCTGACGGTCTACAAAAACTAGTGGAGCAGCTCGGCGGCCTGCTGGTGCGTCTCGGCCGTCACGCGGATGGCAAACAGCTCGTTGAGCTCGTCTTTGCTAAAGGCAAAGGCCACGGCCTTGTCGATCTGCTCGATCGCGCGCGCGTACTCCTGCATGGCCATGTACACCTGCGCGAGGTGGCAGTAGGCAAACTTGGAGCGCGGACACATCTCGACGGCCTTTTCAAACAGCGCGAGCGCCTCGTGGCCGTACTCGGTGCCCTTCTGCACCAACAGGTTGCCCTGGTTGATGTACGCCATCGGGTACGACGGGTCCAGCGCAATCGCCTTCTCGAACATCTCCTCGACGGTCTTGAGATCGACAGCGCTGCCCGGAGCTTGCAGCATCTGCATGTACGTCTCGCCCAGGTAGTTGTAGATCTCGGGCACGTCCGGAGTAATGCGAGCCGCGGTCGTGAGGTAGTCGACTGCGCCCTGGAAGTTCCCGTTCCGCGCGTGCGTGACACCCAACTGGATGTACGCCATGGCAAAGTCTGGCGCCAGACGAATGCACGTTTCCAAGTCGCTCAGCGCGGCCGCCATCGACGCTTCGTTGCTCGTGCCGTCGGGTGACACGTCGATCGAGTGGAGTTGGCCGCGGTGGAAGTGCGCCGTCGAGCACTCGGCCTTCTCAGCCAGCGCCTTGTCAAACCACTCGAGCGCCTTCTTCAGGTCCTTCTGGTCGAAACAGAGACCGCCCATGCGGATCTTGGCAAAGATCGAGTACGGCTTTGCCGCAAGCGCCTCTTCGAACGACTTTCGAGCGAGCGCAAACTCGCCCCGCAAGTGGTGGTACGTCCCATTCTCGATCTGAGCCGTGTAATACGCCTCTTCGTCAAACCGGACGAGCTCGCACGCGGCAGCGAGGTCCTTGGCCGCCATGTCGTAGTCCTTCTCTTTCTTCAGAGCCAGCCCCCGCTTCGTCAGCAGCAACCCACGCGGCGCTCGAGAGTCCTCTGTGGCAGCGCCCAGCGCCTCCAACTCGGCCGTGTACTCGTCAGCCGACTTGTCGGCCACGACGTCGTTCTCATCGTCACTCGGATGGAACGACGAGTAGTACGACGTCACGAAGAACTGGTCCGGGAGGTACCGCACGGGGTTCTGTTTGTTCTGCTGCGCGTCCTCAATCTCCTTGAGCGTAATGTCACTGTGGATGCGGCTGATCTCCTGCGCCAGCGTCTCGTCCACTTGCTCCTGTTGCTCCTCGGCAATGACCAAGAGACAGACATAGTCCACGAGCGATCCGCGCAGGTCGCCCAGCGCAGCTTTCGCCTTTGCCCGACGCACGTACGACTTTGTGTGTCGATTGTCCAGCCGCAACGCTTTCGAGCAGTCGTCCACGACGTTCGTATAGTCCTCGAGCTTCTCGTACGCAGCGGCGCGGTTCGAGTACATGACTTTGAGGTTGCGGCCGTCGAGCGGCGGCTGCTGCTCTTCGCAGAGGGCAATGGCCACCGAGTAGAGCTCAATGGCTTCGTGGAAGTCCCCGGCCTTGTACTTCGTCGTGGCTAACGTGGCTTCGGCCTCTCCCAAGTTCACGACCGGCGGCGCCTCCTGCGCGTCTGGAGGCGGACAAGAAGGAGCTGACGAAGCGAATGGAGCAACAGAAGGGGCAGCAGCGGCTGCCTCTGGCTGCGACGCTCGAGACGGTAGTGGACGAGAGACTTCGACCTCGTTCGACTGCTTCGGACCGTCGTCAATCGACTGCTGTCTGTGCTGCTGCTGGTGGCGCTTGCGGAAGAGCCCCACGGCCACAAAGGCGCTGATGGTGGCGAGCGACGCCAGGGCCGCGAGCTGGAGGAGCGCGCGCTGCTCCATCGCTCGGCTGGAAACGCGAAATGGGCAGCGAAAGAGCGGGCGAGTGACCAATTGTCGCGCAGACGCACTTCGCCTACAATGGGGCGTGGCGGCGTAAGAACGCGTCGGCGTAAATACGAGTGGGGGGCCCGCGGCGTCAACTTATACGAGGCACGGTGGCCGCGCGGGGGGACCCGACAGTGGGCTCGTGCGATTCACATAAATTGGGTCCAGCGACGCGCTGTTTTTGGGTCAAAGTTCGCATGGACCGTCCGTATGTTGTTTTGTCTGCCTTTACACCAACGGGTGGCTGCGCTGTGTTGGCTGGTCACCGACCGTCTCGGCCAGTGGTTGTCGGCGAGTTCGATTGACTCGCCCACCAGTTCCTCAGTGTCAAATTGAATCCGTGCAGTGATCCGTCGGTCGTGAGCAAGTGCATTCAACCAGTCTACCAACCCAACAACTCAATCCAACCCAATCAACTCAACCCAACCCAATCCAACCCACTCAACATGTCGGACGTCGCCGTGAACCCCAAAGCCTACCCGCTCGCAGACGCCAAGCTTACCGTGTCCATTCTCGACTTGGTGCAGCAAGCCACCAACTACAAGCAGATCAAAAAGGGCGCCAACGAGGCCACCAAGACGCTGAACCGCGGCATCTCCGAGTTCATCGTCATGGCGGCCGACACGGAACCGCTGGAAATTCTGCTGCACCTTCCGCTTCTGTGTGAAGACAAGAACGTGCCGTACGTGTTTGTCCCCTCCAAGGTCGCTCTGGGCCGTGCGTGCGGCGTGTCGCGTCCCGTGATCGCCGCTTCGATCACGTCAAACGAAGCGTCGCAGCTGGGTCCGCAGATCCAGAGCATGCGCGAGCAGATCGAGCAACTCCTAATTTAAGCGCTCTCTTCTGATTGCCTGCCGCTCGTGTCTCGGCTGTCTGTCACGACGTTCGTGACGCCGACGTCCCCGTCATAGGAGTATGTCTCTTGCACTTAGATAACTGCAGGCAGGCAGACTCAATCCCACTCCTTTTGAATCAGTACCTCTACCTCGTTCTTTGCCGCTGTTCGCACGACTGTTCAACGCTACGCTGCCAACATGAGCACGTACTCGCGCGTGCTTTCGCCGAACCTGAGTACGTCCTTCTCCTTGAGCTCGATGTACCTCGAGCCGTCAATCTCGCGGCCGTTGAGGAACGTCGCGTTGGTGCTATTGAGGTCCATGATGTACGGCCGCACGTCCTGCTCGTACCCGAGACCGTCCTCTGTCGGTTTTTGGTACATTCGGTACTGCAACACCGCATGCTGTTTCGAGCACGAGGGATGCTCAGTCAGGATGTCTGCCACAGCCTTGTCACGCCCAATGAGGAACGCACTCTTGCGGTGCACGTGCAGCGTCGCTGCATCCATCACACCCACAGGCACATGACGAGTCAGCAACAAAGCAACCAACCTTTTCTATACCCCGCAGCAACCACAACAAGCCACAGCGCTGCTTCCAACCGACCAATGTTCTCGTCGCCCTTGAACACGTACAGCCGGTAGCGTCTCGTCGGCTGTCGAGCTTCTGGCGGCTCGGAAAACTTCACGACCACACCATTGCGCATGTTTCCCGTCGTCTGGTCCTTGGCCAGAGCGCCCGTGAGGCCGAAGTTCGGCTTCTCCACCTCCTGAACCTCTTCCTCTTCGCCGTCGTTCGAGTCCTTTGTTTCCCGCTTTCCCCACCTATATGCACACGCACAGCAACAGGCACTCGCTCAACAATGAGATCTCCCACCCCCCAACAGCAGCAACAGATCCAGCGCATCGATCCACAGGTCGCAGCAAAACACCGTCGCAACGTACGCGACCAAGTGCGAAAAGTCGCGCGTCTTCTTGTCCTCATTGCGCGCTACACGCGGCGGCGAGCGCGCGCACATCCGCTTCAGCTGCTGCTCACGTTGTTCCTCTCCTTGCGATGCAGAGCGCGACCGCCGCCGCGTCTGCCAGCGACTGCTCCCGCGCGACGCGCGCCGGCCGACCGACCGCGAGCGCGACCGCTGTCGCCGCGACGATGGCATGACAGGAAAAGTGACCTCTCAAACAGAATACCTCTCATTTCGAATGACGACGACCCCCGACGACGGCGACGAGCGGCCCGCCCTCAACGCGTCGGCCGTCGCGGACGAGACGCCACTCGCGCAGCTGTTCGAGCAGCAGCGGCTGCAGGACGCCATGGAGGCCATGCGCACGTGGGACGCGGGCAAAGTGCAGGCGGAGATCGCGCTGGCCTTTGCCGCAGTGAGCCACGCGCCGTCGGCGTTCCTCCAGTGCGTTGAGCTCTACTGCGCGCTCCCGGACAGGCACGTGACGGCCATTTCGCACTGGATCGCAGCGGCCGTCGCGAGTCTCCAGGCGTCCAACCGCAGCAGGAGCGTCTCCTCGCGCGACAGTCAACTGGCGGCGTCGATGCTGCCGGCGTTTCAGCGCTCGCGGATGCCGTTCGTGGCCGACTTTGCACTCGCTTTTCGAGTGGACGTTGAGGCGCTGGCCGCCTTTTGCTCGCGCGTGCTGTCGACGCGCGTGGCTCTGGCCGTGCGCTTTATGGAGTGCCTCAAGATGAGAGATCTGCTGCCGACGGACGTGGTGCTGGGCCACGTGCTGAGGCAGAAGGACTTTCGCACGGGCGACGTGTTTGTCAAAGGCTCACGCGACAAGCAGTCACAGTTTGTGCAGCTCCTCATTGATGCCAACGTGCACGACAAGGTGATCAAAAAGCGGCTCTCGCTGTTCAAGCTGCCGGCCAGCGCGTTTCCAGTCTACTACGAACGGTACGGCGTTGTAATGAGTCGAAGCGCTTGACTGACAGCGTGCTGCTCTCTTTGGGGTTTCCGCACAGGCGACAGAAGGCGACGCTCCGGTTTCTCGTGTACTCGAAAGAGTACGAGCAAGCGCTGCAGTTTGTCGAGAACGTGGACGCGCTGAAGTCGTACGCCTGCAAGATGATCATCCGTCACGCCGGGCCGGAAGACCCCGCCACGAAGCAGTTTGTTTTTCGCACAGGGCTTGCAGCCCAGTTTACTGAAGTCGACACCAGTGCAGAGGACGGCAAGCTGTTTGCGGAACAGGATGAGCCGCTGCCGCTCGACTCGTGTCTGTCGCTTGCTGAGACCATTGGTGAAGCCAATATTGTTTTCGTGGACACGCCGCAGGCGCTGAAAGCATGTGCTGCGTACCTCCTCGAGCAGCCAGTGATTGGGTTTGATTCCGAGTGGAAAGCGGTGCGTGTTTCAGCTGGCCCAGACGTTGGGGCTGCGAAATGTGCACTTGTGCAGCTAGCTTCCCGTGAAAAGGCGTTCGTCGTGGACGTGGTGGCGCTGTTTGATCACGGGCATACTCTAGCCCCGGTTTTCCAGTCGGAGTCGGTGCTTAAGATAGGTTTTGATACAAGAGGGGATGTGAAGGCATTGCGTCCTTTTTTGACAGGAGGGTATGCGGTCAGCGACGTCATGTCGATGCTCGTGGACTTGCAAACTGTCACGCGAAAGCTGCCGACGCTTGAAACCGGCAATGTAGCAGAATCCAGATCGGCGGTCAATGATGGCAAGGAATTGTGCAGTAAAGAGGGAGTACCAGCAGCTCCGAAAATCGACAGCGAGGTGTCTCAATGTACGTCAAAACAAAGAAAGTGGAAGAAAAAACGAAGCAAGACCGACATAACGGATGCTAGCGTCAAACCTTCCCGCCTGGGCCTGGCTGCCATCGCCGAGACGTATTTGGGCTTCCCCTTGGACAAGCGCGTGCGCATGTCGGATTGGGAGCGCCGCCCACTTACGCAAGCTCAGCTCCATTATGCTGCTCTGGATGCGCACGTGCTGGTTCAGATCTACTACAAAATGCAAGAGCAGCATGTGACTGACACGTTAGAGGCGGTGCTGAAACGCTGCACACAGAAGCATGTGAAGTAGCTGGAAGATGTGGTTCGTCAACTAGACATGAGAAAACTCCGCCTCGTCCGCCATGTCGCTGGCAATAGGTCAACTTCTGGTTCAGCACGGTGTCTCGTGGACAGGTCATCGGCTGGTCTTTTGCAAATATCACGCTCAATCCACATGCTGAATCTATCATCGACACTAACGCACATTTGACAACACATCACTTCGATGCAGCGATGCTTCTTACATACATTACCCGTGACAAATGGCATAACATCCAAGCGTTCTCCGATGAGCTGAGGATCTCTATTGGCTCATGTAGGTTGCAAGGACGTCTGCGAAATCAGCCCCGCTGTCACTGTCCATGCAAAAGAGATGCTCTTGTAGAGCCTCTGGTAGTGCTGTCACCTTCAAGATCATATCGGTGAGCTTCTTTTGCAGCTCTTCCTTTTCCTGCGACAGTAGCAAGGAAACACAAGAATGGTCAAAACACATCTGTAAGTGTCTCTTCGATCTTGCAATCCTGATAGTACCTCACCTCACTCGTCTTGCGAAGCTTCTGTGTCATGTCTTGCAGCTCACCCTCGACACGAAACGTTTTCTCTCCAAGTTCATGCTGCAGCTCTGCTATCTTTTCGTTCAGCACTTTTTCATTTTCTTCGGCATTCTTGATCGTCAATGCAAGCGTTTCTACGATCTCGGTGCGACTCACCGTCTCGCGATGTACTGCGACTTCCAGGTCATCCACTTTCGTTGCAAAGACTTCCTTCTGGTTTATTGCATCCTGTCGCGCATGTTCCAGCACGATCGCTTTTTCTTGAAGCTCGGTATTCTGACGTTTTAGCTCGTTGATCTCGTCTCGAAGCTGCTTGACTTCACTTCCATCGATGTTGACACGGGCCATCCTGGCCTCGTACATCTTCTGCATCGTCTCCATGTCTTGCGCCACTCGAACGCGCAGCTGAGCTTCCTCTTTCTTAAAGTGATCAACAAGAGCATCCTTTTTGTCTGCGAAAGCCTTCTCAAGCTGTAGCCGCAACTCTCTCAGACGAGACTCGCTTAGCTGCTGTGTCACAACATTTTCAAGCTCCTGGAAGGCTTGAATCACTTCCTGCTGGTAGAAGTCACGAAGCACAGAAGCTTTTTCTGGACCTCGTGCTCTCTCATCATATTGCTTGTCGAACTCCTGGATGGCAGCTAACATAGCGGCAAACGTCCCGCTATCTCGCGCACGTGAAACGAGATCTGTCCAGAGAGTCTGTCGTACTTCTTCGCAGAATTCCCGCGACTTTTCCGTGAGTATACCTAATTTGGCCTCGTACCGCGTGCGAATATCGGCCTTGAGCTTGTGGCGCACTAGACGATGCCTTCCGGATTTGTACTTGCTCGCCGTACAGTACACGCCCATGCTCAGGCGCCACATCTCTTCATGCAATTGCCGGAACGCGTCTAGCTCCATGGGCGGGTACTCTAACACGCACGGATGCACGCAGTCCTCATAAGTGCTCAGCGCATCCTCCGCCACTACCCGACACTTGTCTTCCACAAAGTCGTCCCAGGCAGTGCCAAAGTCGACAGGATCCTGATTAGACACTTGAACCGATAGCTTGCGAAGAAGAGAGGCGAGCATCTCCCCTGTCATCTCAACCCCAAACAACTTTTTGACCGTCGCATGCGAGCTACAAAACTCGTCAAAGTTCATGTGTGCAATGCTTTGGAGATCCAAGGTCCCGACTCTCTTCAGACGAACAAGGCTTGCAAGTGCTTCGACACCTGTCAACCTCTCCCCTCCCTCCTCAACAGCAAGCGAGCAACGAGGAGATAGGTCAATGTCCAGCATCGCAGGCAGCATCTCAAACACTTCCGATGTCGTAAACTCCTGTGACAGTGTCTGGAAAAGTGACTGGAATTGGGGCAGACATGGAGCGAGGCACCGCACGGACATGGACTCGTCGCAGCATGAAACAACGAGCGACGACAGAGCGCAGAACGCACCAATGAGCGGTCCAAAGCCGGCATCATCACTCGCCACCCAGTCGAAGTTCAGTATCAGCAGTTGGCGTTCGCGTTCAACGTACGCGGCGCTTGCCAGCAGCTCGAGCCCATCGCCACTTGAGGCTTCGACGTGCTCATCACCACCCAGCAATCGAGCGACCAACTCGCTCCTTTCAGCCCTTGTGGACGGGGAGCCGAGAAACGAGACGACCGCTACGTGATCTTGGGCCATCTCTTGCTCCAGGATCCGCATACCATCGGCCGTGGGCGCGCCAGCTGCATCCACGAGCACCACCTTTCGCCAAACGGTCTCCATCGCGTTGGATCCTTAAGTGCGGTGGCTCCTTAAGTACGTATCTGCTCGCACGCGCAACTAGTAGTGCACGAAAAACGCAACATGGCTACACTTCATTTAGTCGGAATCTACGCACGTCTCGGTTGTCTCCTCGCCATCACACGCTTGTTCAATTGTGCCTGAAGTAGTTGCATCCACAGGAGACGTGATGGACACGCCCAGTGCTCGCGCATCGCTCCTCTCCAGTCGCTCCATGAGTTCCGTCGTGTTGAAGTCAAATGCCACTGGACTCCACTTGCTCTCGACCGGAGGTGCGTCCGGTGTACCACGCTACAGCACAGCAACGGTCACGTCATGTGAACGGTCAAACAGCTTCGTCAGTCGATCCATCCACTCTTCTCTCTCCTCGAGTATACGTCGCATCTGACACTGCAGCAGTCCGCACCTTGATCGAAAACGACCGCAATAAGCTCGTGACACTCGGGCTCGAGTTCAGCAAGATACCGGCACTGCGACTAGCGCTTTCGGTGCGTTTCTCAAGCTCCCGCGTGGTTTCCAGCACTCGACTTACAAAGCGCTGCGCACCGACACCGACACCGACACACACAGATAGACCATACACCATCAGCAGTGGCCCTTGAATTGCTACTCTATCGACAGTCCGGTTTCCGCCCCACCTCAATCAGATTCAAGCGCAAGAAAATGTCTTCCAGCTCGTTACAATTGCTCAGGAGCTCGTCCAGTAGCTGCTCCTGGACCTGCTGCACGTCCTGTCGCAGTTCGTCAGCCACTGCGCACGCCTCGTCGATCTTGAACAGCGCCAGACCGATCCGCTCGTCCGCGGGGTTCGTAGAGTGCACTGCCTCGTCCAGCAGCTCTTCGTAGTCGCCACATAGCGCTTGGAACGCGCGCTTCAAGTTACTGTCCTCCATCGTCAGCGTCAAGTGCCGACACTCGTGTGGTGGCCAAGTGCGTCTTTGGGGTCCGCCACACCATTCCCTCGGTCGAGTGCCATGTCCCCTATCCATCGGTCCGCGTGCTCGGTTTGGGTGGCTCTGCTCTGTCGACCAGAGAGAGCTCTTCGTGCGCTCGCGTTGTCGGCAATTGATTGACCGACCGATCGACGGATAGATAGCTCAAGTGTAGCCATCGACAATGTCGACAACGACGACGGCCACACCCGACGCAGGGGGTCCGCGGGACATCACACCGGACCGGAAGAAAGCGTGGGAGTCGTCGTCGGACTTTGCCAACTACTTTTGCACGTATGCGTTCATTTACCACCAGAAGCAGATGCTCTCGGACGACCTGCGCATGCAGAGCTACCGCGACGCGATCTTCCTCAACCCGAGCCATTTCAAGGACAAAGTCGTGCTGGACGTGGGCACGGGCAGCGGGATCTTGGCCATCTGGGCGGCCCAAGCAGGCGCCCGCCGCGTCTTTGCCGTCGAAGCGACCGACATTGCCGTGCAGGCGCGCAAAGTGATCAAAGCCAACAGTCTCGACCACGTCGTGACGGTCATTCAGTCCAAGATGGAGGACGTGGAGCTCCCCGAGCCAGTGGACGTCATCATCTCCGAGTGGATGGGCTACTTCCTCCTGCGCGAGTCCATGTTCGACTCGGTCCTCGTCGCCCGTGACCGGTGGCTCAAGTCGGACGGCGCCATGTTCCCGTCGCACGCGAGCATGTCGATCGCTCCCATGTGCAACGAAGACAACAGCAACAAGCGCTTCAGTGAGTTCTCGTCCGCTATGGACGGCTGGCGCAGCTTCGTGGACAATACCAAGAACGCCTGGGGCGTCGACATGAGCGTGCTCGGCAACGCCTTCCGCAAGGAACAGGAGCAGTACTCGCTGCACACGTCGTCGTGGGAGGAGCTCAGTGCCGGGGACCTCATTGGCGACGAGGTGGAGTTTGCCACGTGGGACCTCAAGACCTGCACGCTCGACGACATCAAGGAAGTGAAGGCGTCGTTCGCCCTGCCGATCACCGCCATGGCGCGCTTTGGCGGCATTGCCGGCTGGTTCGACGTGGACTTTCGAGGCTGCGTGGAGCACCCTGCAGAGAAGATCGTGACGCTCACGACGTCGCCCTTTGTGCAGCCCACGCACTGGGGACAGCAGGTGTTCCCGCTCTACCCGCCAGTTCAGGTGTGCGAAGGCGATGCGGTCGTGGGCGACATTACCGTCCGGCGTCGCACGGACAATCAGCGGCTCATGAACGTCAAGTTCGACTTCCGTGTCGAGCGGCCGGACGAGGCGGACGAGCGCTCGGCGGGGCCGCTCAACTCGGCCGTCTTCCAGATCGAATAAGTGTCACGTAATAAACTTCATCCACATGCAGCCGTAGCAGTCGTAGCGGTCGTAGCAGTGGCGTCAGTCCTCCTCCAGTCTCTCTCTTTCCACCCCACTGTAAGCAATGGCGTCGTCGCCGGCGTTCGACCGCGAGCTGCATGCGCACTACTTCCTGAGCCACTTGCGGGCGCTGCCCGCGGCGTACGCGTCGCAGGACTCGCAGCGTGTGGTCGTGGCCTTCTTCTGCGTCCACGGCCTCGCGCTGCTCGGGAAGCTCGCGGACGTGGACCGACGCCGAGTCATTGAGTGGGTCTACAGCCTCCAAGTGCCGACGACCGGCGGCTTTCGAGGCGGGACGTACCTCGGACCCGTCGTGGGCGGATTCGCGAGCGACGCGTCCGACTCGGGCAATAACATCGCGTCGACGTTTGCTGCGCTCTGCATCCTCCGCACGCTCGGCGACGACCTCAGCCGCGTGGACAAACGCGCGATCGTGCGGTCGCTCGCGTCGCTGCAGAACCCCAACACGGGGAGGTACGTCCCGTGTCAACTACCGGGCAGTCGAATGGCCGAATGGTCGGCCGCTCTATCCGACTAACTGTCTGCGTATCTGTCTGTGTGTCTGTCTGTGTGTCTGCAGCTTCTCGTCTGTGGCCGAGGGGTCCGAGCAGGACATGCGCTTCGTCTACTGCGCCTGTGCCATCGCATACATTCTCGACGACTGGTCCGGCATTGACCTCCTGGCCATGAAGCGCTTCATCCACTCGTGTCTGGTACGTCCCCACGTCAGTGCGTCATCTACTGCTGCAACAACTGCTGCTGATGCGACCGCACTTGCGACTGCGATTGACAGAGCTACGACGGCGGCATTGGCCTCGACGTGGGCGCCGAGTCGCACGGTGGGGCGGCGTTCACGGCCATTGCGTCGCTGGCGCTATGCGGACAGCTGCCGCAGCTCGAAGGCGACGTGCGGTCGGCGCTCGTGCGGTGGCTGGTCTTCCGCCAGCAGCAGCGCAGCGGCTTCCAGGGCCGCATCAACAAGCGCCCCGACTCGTGCTACGCGTTCTGGAACGGCGCGACGCTCGCGCTGCTCGACCAGCACGCGCTCGTGGACGTCGCGAGCTGCCAGCGCTTCATCTACTCGTGCCAATGCCCACGCAGCGGAGGGCTGTGCAAGTACCCCGCGACGCAGCCCGACGTGATGCACTCGTACCTCAGTCTCGCGTGGCTCAGCATCGCCGCCCACGCGAGTGCCGACACAGACGCACCCGAGTCGCCTCGACTCGTCGCCCTCGACACGAAGCTCCAAGTGCCCTTCTTCCCAGCGCTCCCACGCAAGTAGCACCAGCAGCAGCACCAGCAGCAGCAGAACATCACAAAACACGGCAGCGACAGCAGCGACACGACCAGACCGGGACAAGTCCTCACTCGAAGCTCGTGCATTTCAACGTCTCTCTCTCTCTCTCTCTGCTACGTCAGAATGTCGACGCCGTCGTCCGTGATCAACACCGTGTGCTCGGCCTGAGCCGACCGCCCGCCGTCGGCCGTCGCGATCGTCCACCCGTCTTCCCAGCGCACAATCTGCCACAAAGACACACACACACACACACCTCAGTCTCCTCGCCACCTCACCCTCTTCTCCTCCTCCACGTCCTCCTTTGGCCCACGGCCGTAACCCACCTCAGGGCTGCCTTCGGTCAGCGCCGGTTCGACCGTGAAGGCCATGCCGGGCCGCATCGTCCCCCGCTCGTCGTTGCGGTGGTGCAGCACGTACGGCAGACAATGGAACTCTTCGCCAATGCCGTGGCCCGTAAACTCCTGCACGACGCCGAGCTGCTCGTTGTCGGCCATCTCGTGCACGAACGCGCCAATGGACCGGAAGCGCTGCTGCGGTCGACAGCAGTGCGCGATAGCGCCCACGAGCGCGCGCGTCGTGACGTCGACCAAGTGCCGTCCGCGGTCGTCCACGTCGCCCACGCAAAACGTCTGCGACGTGTCGCCGTGGAAGCCGTCGTAAAAGACCGACACGTCGATGTTCACGAGGTCGCCGTCGACGAGCGGACGGCTGTCGGGGATCCCGTGCACGACGACGTCGTTCACCGACGCGCAGAGCGACTTGGGGAAGCCGCCGTAGCCCAGCGGCGAGGGGTACGCGCCGTTGCGCACGATCTCTTCGTGCACGAGGCGGTCGATGTCGTCGGTCGTCGCGCCCGCTTGGCACAGCGGCTGCGCGAACTCACGGACGGCTTTCGCCAGTGCACAGGCGGCGCGTAGGCGCTGCTGCTGGTCGGCGGTTAGGATGGGGATATACGGCGGGGGGGTCGACAGTCCGCCGCGTGCGACGTACGACGGGCGGGCGATCGTCGCGGGGACCGCACGCGGAGGCGACAGACGCCCGGGGACGACGCGCGGACGGCGGGCAGCGGTTGAGACGCGACGCATTGGCAGAGTATGGGGAGAAGGCGAAGGAGTGAAGGAATGAATGGACGAAAGAGAGGGGGGAAATGGAGTGGGTGGGTGGGTGTGTTTAGTGCTCTGAAGAGCGCGGTCGATCAATGGGTGGGGTCGGTCTGTTACCTGTCTGTCTGTTTACCTCTTGTGGAGGAGTCGACTGCGGGCGAGTACGCGCGCGAGGAGAGGCGTCGCGGCGATAGTGAGCGCGCCCCGGACGGGACCGGTGGCTACGGTGGAGAGGTACGCGAGCGCGAGCGTACCGGCGTCGGGGTCCACTTTCGTGAGGTCGACGAAGGGCACGCGGGTGGCGAGCGACGGCAGGTCAATGCCCTGTCGGATGGCCGCGTAGGAGCCCGCGAGCGTCGAAGCGAAGACAGTCGCGTGGAAGACGAACGCGGTCCGCGCGTGGCGCTTGAGCACTTGCTTGGCACGGGCGGCCATGAGGGAGAGAGGTGGGGGGAGGGAGTTAGACGCCGACGACGGACGGACGGACGGACGCAGTGGCAGTGGCGATATCTTCTTGGGGTATGGCCGGCAGACAGTTGCGTGGCTGACGACGGGAGAAAGCGGTTGTGGCAGTTGGGTGACGGTGGATTTGTAGCGAACTGGTGCGTCGCGTGCGATACGCTGAGGCTGAGCGTGTTGGGGGGGAGGGGGAGTGATGACATGGCCCGTTGGCCGCGCCCATCAAAAGACGAACGTGCGCAGAAGTTGACGCGGACGAAAGGAGCGGAAGAAGGAGAGGGAGGACAAGTGGTTCGTTCCCATCAGGTGAGGCTGGTTGAATGCTGTCGAACGGACCAACAACTCGCTGGAGTTGTAGAGAAGAAGCTCATCTAGTTGCAGGTGTGAGTGTGCGTTTGCGGACGCGTTGCAATACTACATGGGTCGGATGATGGTACACGTCAGCGCCTACGTGGTCAACTGTCCACAAATCGCGTCGCCTTTGTGCACGACGTGCAAGAACTCGAGGCATATCCCTCGTGCGCGTTTTGAAACAGCATCGCCACCTTCAGTCGACTAGCACGTGAAGCATATTGTGCGGTCTGAAATGACATTTCCTCCCACTCGGTCCAGATCAGGCGAAGGAGAACTTGAGCTGGAAGATAGTTGTGGACCATCTCAGCCGAGTGCAAGAGAGGATGAAGTGTCAACGTCGATGGCTTGTTGCGCGGCCTCTAGTACACCTGCTTCTGGGCACTGTTCGTATCTTCTCGCGACAACAATTATCAGTGGATCTGCAACCAGAATGTTGCAAGTTTTACACATCACACACCGCGACTTTGAGAGTGCGGGTGCACGTTGAGATGGACATGTGTTTCGCAATTGCTCTGCGGTCGAGGTGTCGACTTGACGTCTTCGGAGACTTTGGTGGCGATCCATACGGCAACAGATTGGCTGACATCACGTCGTACTGATGACAACATTGACCTGAAGCGGTAGTAGTAGACGCAACGAGTTGCCAGTTTGGTGACGTGGTGTATATGGCGAGCGGACTCTCGGCTTTACGACGCAAGGCATTTCGGTCAGTCGGATACTGACTGGCGCATGATTACATGTATGGAGGCGTAGACGACAATTGCTATTCCGAAGTGATGGAAATACGGCGAAAAAGAGGCCGACGTGCGCGACTATGCTCGTGACAGTGCAGATGGATGATACGCCACAGTTTCGCGTTTCGACCATGCAGACATCAACTAGTTGCTATCGTGAGATGTTTTGCGATGGGCTCACCACTTCCGAGCTAAGGAGACCTATGAAGCGCAACGGACAGTATAGCGCCTCATAGTCGTGACTGCAACACTGACATCACTCGTTCCCGCTGTCCAAGTCATGAATTCGTTTGGTGCGTCCGCAGCACAAGATGGTTCGTGTGTGATCAAATAGACAAAAGCACTTGATAATGCTCACCGTTGCTGCATGGATTTGTCAAGGGTCGTGTTCCCATTGATTGGCATGTGCCAATGGTACGCGCTGCTGACAGTGGCTGAAGGTGACGCTCGCACCTTTTCGATAGCGAAAGGAGCTTCGTTACATATTCGCGATGTCCAACTTTGCAGCTTTCAGTCACTTTCGGGTTGTTATGCGACTTTCGCCTCGAGTCATGATGGGTCGGATGAGTGTCAGCTTTGGCACATTACTGACAGGAGTCACGACATACCCAACCAATAAGTTGGCTGCTTGGAACGCACATCAGACGCATTCGTAATGAACAAAGTGCTCGTAAAGGTTACGAGGGAAGTGACATGTGATTGATACCCAATTGTTCAGCTGATCAGAAGAGCTGCTACACCAACAGTCGAACGAGTTAAAAGAAGTTGCTGACCGACCCGACAGTCAAACTTGGCCAGTTGATGCAGGTTTGTGGTTGTAAGCTGATCTTCATTAACACGTTCTTTCCTCGATTGCACTGCTGGACGCAAGGGCTTACCAAAAAGAGAGCGACCTGCACTCATGATGCGTAAATGTATCAGCCGACCAACGATCCGAACCCACGGTGGTAAAGATCTGGTCGTGAATGACAGGCGAAGTCGGGGCAGTCCATCTTCCGGCTATATCAAGTTGCAAAGCAGCTTTTCCACGACTTCATCTCCAGCTCTTGTCATCGGTAGGCAGGACGCGGGCCTCACTGACAACGCCAACGCAGGAGGAGGCTTCGTGTCAATACTTCTGCTTTTCCCTTACGTGGTGCTAATGGTTTACACTTGCCACTTCGTAGCGACGGTGTATCACTGCGAAGGTTACATCCCTGAGCAACGCCGTTGTGACAACCGCGAACCCATGCTCTAGCTCCTGGTGCTGACGAAAAACAGCTGTGACGCTTCTTGTTGAAGTGCTTGTTGAGATACAAGGAGACGCTCAAGGCTCGTCTCAATCCAGAGCAGTGGAATGCACCTGAATCGCTCCTGGGTCAGGATCGCATCCGCAATTTCTGCAATCGAGCATCCTTGTGGGCGGTCTAACAAAGAGCCTGCGGTTAGTCCGACGAGTACAATAACAACAACAACAACATGGATGTGTGAATTCTTTGCGCACCTCGGATAACTCGCAGAAGCGCTGGCTTCAGCGCCACTTCGAAGCTTAGCAACACGTGGCGATCTGCCTCATCGTCCTCCAAGAACAAAAGTCCTGCTCGTCGTAGCTCACGAAAAGAGAATCGCAGTGCTCTGATTCTCTGGTTCTTGTCGATCGTTCTGCCGTGTTTGTCCATCTGCCAGGTATCACCACGTGAGAAGGGGGCGCAACATAGCAAATACTTACAAGCAGACTCGCCATACAATAAGCTCAGGTGAGCTGACGAAACTGCTGAAGGAGATCACGCTGGCGTCCTTGATACCGCTAGTGTGTTGCTGCCGAAGAATGGACTCGAGAATGCCGAGCAAAGTTTCATCATAAGGGCCGCGATCACTTCGGCTGAGAAACTGCTGCTTTGTGCTCGTGTCAACAGAGAGGCTGAAGAAAGCTTGAGCGGCAATGTGATCCCAATGCGCCTCGCTCTTCGTGCACTTGCTAGCTTCTGCGTGTGACTGACGCGACCCACTGACAGCGGACAGGCACTTGCTCTCCAGCTCCATGGCTTGGGTCCAATGCAGCACCTCCGCATTCGGGTCGTCCACAGGAGTAATTCGCAGGATCCGAAGCTCACGAGCCCTTCCGCGGCCATGTGCATATACAGACACAGTGTTACACAATCTTCTCACACGATACACGACAATACCCCATCAACACGACTGACAGATCGTCCGAGTCCCAGCTCTTGTCCATGTTTAGCTTGCCTTCCACGTGTACCAGGTCCCCCAGCACGACTGGCGCGGCAACACTTGCTCCCCACAACACCGTCTTCACGAGCGCAGTACCGTCATCGATCAGGATCTCCACTGCCCAAAAGTCGTGTCAATCAGCTCCAGACGCTATGCACAAACTTCTGGGTCGTCTCACCTCGATCCGCTCGCTCCACAATGGAGACGACGACTCCAATGCACTGGGCTTTTGTCAGGAGACGCGCTCTCCAGAGTCCTGACGTCTTGAAGCGCCACGCGTGACTTGCTGGCAGACCTCGAAAGTCGGCCAAATTGCGAAGCACTTGCGCGCCTAAAAGCTTCACAAAGCTCTAAGTAGCAGAGAACCGCATCAGACCAGAACCTATTCACGTGTATGATGACACGACGGTGTTGTTACCCATGTCAACGGGTCCTTTCCAAGCTCTTGCACGCTTGTGGTCCCTACGAAAACGGCTGTTAGTCGAATGACAGGTCGAGAATAGGAGAAAGAGCTGCCCGGCATATGAGGAATGGGACCATTGAGAGAGCGACTCCGTAAGCTGCTGAAGTCTGTTGTAGTAGTATCTGTTGCTGAGCTCCTGTCTGCACCATTCATATCGAACGTCTTACACACAATGGCACAGGACACACAGTGGCCACATCAGTCATTGAGCGTTCCATGACACGATGATCGGTACCGGGCGCCGGGCCGCACAGTTTGCACCCGCGACGTACCAAATGACCACGCAAAAAGTGCAGAACACACAGCGAAAGTCGCTGTGTCCGATATGATGGGCAATGGGTGCTATGACGGTAAGATGGTCTAGTGATGGTGCTAAAACGACATGACCTACTTCCAAGGCAAATTCGTGTCCGAGAGAGTTCAACACGCGACTTTGTCTCAAACGCAGTAAAGTAGTTCTTGCTGTAACAATTGCGATTTGAGCAAAAGTCGTGGGTGACAGGGCCATGGTCAGGTCGAACCCCACCCGTGTTTTCTAACGCGAATTTCGGAACAAGATGGACGACTTGTAAGTAAAAGTTGGGCCTGCGGAAGTCTGCTGTCTGCGTATTCTTGACAGGATACTGGATCAAGGCCATGTCTTCTTACTGCCCGTGAAACGTGGCATATGTACGTTGAGGGCCCCGTTCACTTGAGCTTAAGCTGAATGATCGTAAATGGCCAAACTCTGTTCTTTTACCTGCCTATCTTTCGACTGCAAATCTGTCCTTTTCTGCAATATCACTTGTCCGTCCGTCCGCGGCAGACCAATTTTGCTGCAATTTTCCAGACAAACTTCTTGAGAAAGCACTTGACTGTGTAGTGGTACGAATTTAGTCAGCCATTCGTTAATAGGCTCTTCATTCCTACGACGATGTATCTTTTTGATGCAACCAAGCAGTCTCGTTCGAGGTAACGATCATGTTCTACTGGCTAGGTACAGCTACCTGTTCTGCATGGTTTTGCAATATTCGAGATTGCTTGCCGCTCAACTAAGGCAAAGGGGATACTGTGATTTCAGCGAGTTGGTGAGCTTCAGATAGCACTACGGAAATGAATGTGTGAGAACTTAACAACAACAAGAATAACAAGGTTTATACTTCTCATACATGCATCCTTCGGCAACTGTTCTTGATTCCATAGCCTCAGCATGTAATCCTCTGCAATTTTGAGCTTAAGTGACGTCTCCTCGTCAGCACATTTAGGCGCCGTACCGAGGATTGCTGACTTGCTGCACCGATGACCAATGCAACGCTGTTGTGAAGTTACTGAAGCCTCTCCGGAGTAGATTCCACTGAAAGCCCACATTCCCTACGCGGCGAAGTATCGATCAGAAGCTCTAGTCAATCGAATTGAAGTGTTTGTACATTGCACCTTCCAGGCAACTAGAGGGATATCATCCCTATTTCGCCAGCGCCTTTTTGAGCGCGTATTGGGCTAATAGACACTTCATGCTCACTGCATCTCTTCAATGTCAAATGCTGTCATACAAATATGGTCGTCAAGATTCCCGATGACTCTATCAGCCCACTAATGCTGCGAATATATTCCACCGCTGCGACCAGAATGGCTAGTAACATCCCTATTTATCTAAGTATGACTCGTGACGCCATATTGAGGGCAACACGGGTCAGTGTCGCTAATCTACGTGAGCCAATGCAGATTCGACCGCCGAGTTGCCACAGTGTGCTGGCTGTCAAGATTTCATAGACCGATTTATAATTTATTGATATCAACATCATGAAACATGATGTCTTGACAAAAAAACATGGGGAACACAGTTCGCAAAAATTTGTTTCGATCTACAAGCTCCAACTTCGGGGCGATCAAGCAAGTATTGTGATCAACCCGGTGACAGAAGCAAAAGTAAAGCTAAACGATTGCTTGCATAGGGGAGCTGGCGAGAAGTCGAGTGTTACCACATCTTTTATCGCAGAATAACTGAGACAAAACTTCCTATCAAAAACGAGAGCAAAAAAACATGTGTGAATTATTCGGATCCAACCCAAAGAATATGTGCACATATTCAATAACGACGCCTTCCTGTTTTAGCACAAGATTAGAGGGTCGTGCTCTAGCATGTGATAAACTGGCGGGTCATATTCGATCGCCACACTAAGAGCTATTGCTGATTGTGTATGGCAATCTACACCCGTACATCAGAGCCTCGAATAGAAGCGTTTTGCCAAATGTGAGTCCATGGGATGCGCAGTCCAGCTCTACGCACAAAAACTCACTTCGTAGCATTATAACGCCGGACAAAGTGCTTGGCTTCGCATACCGCAAACAGACATAAACAGCATTGCTTTGTGTACGTGAAGCTTCGTGAATGAACTTGTCCGAACAATGACGTGACTGTCAACGCTCATAGAAGCCTCACGATAGGCAGTTGACCGCATCGTTAATGCTAAACGTCGATTGAGTATTGATGTTGGTCAATGCTGATGACACACGCGGATGATCGCCAAAATCATCAGATCGTGTTCTGGCTATCATAGGTAGAACCTCTCGTTGAGGCGAGCGCCATAGCATCAGCTCCGCCTCAATTGTATGGCGAGTTGCTTGTCATGTTGCAGTATAAGCATGAACTCGCTGGCTGAATTCGATATCGCTTCTTGTAATGTCCAACTTGCGTTCCAAATAGTCTTAGTCATATAGCTGCAAGTAAATTCATTAGACAGAATCCAATCCGCATATCACGCAGAGTTATTTTGGGCGTCTATCATGAATGACTTAGCATGTCCGATCGACTCGTGATCCACCTAGTCGCTCGCTCGCGAAAACATGGGTCTCGGAACAAGCGTTATGCATCAAGTCCGCGAGCTATCGCGAGCCACCGCATCCAGCAAACATGGTCTTGAGACGAATTATGGCAACTTTTTCGAATGACGTGCAATACAGCAAGTCTTCGGTTTAATGGCTGTTGGACCAAAATGGTTTCTAGTAGACTCCAGCGAGCTCGTCAAAGTCTGAGTAAAGTGAGCAAATGACGAGCTGCTTTTCCTTCTCGAGCCCACTTTTCCCCAATTTGTTCCAAAGTTTCTTTCCAGGTCTCGCACCGCAAAGAAGAGAATACTGCAGCACGATATACAATCGTGCTCCTCTTTTGCCTCCGCGCGGAGTAGTGAGGACATCGATCAGTGACTTGACGTCTAATTCGACAATCCTTTGTTAAGTTTCCTCAGTTGCAGACTTTGCAGCATCTTATGGGTGTTTGAAGCTGACCCCCGGTGCCTGAGTATGCACTAGTCAGTTCCTGTTTAGCGGCTGCCAGCTTTACGTTTTCTGAGACCAAAGCGAGATTTCAAAAACAAGGTCGGACACGCACCGCTCTCTTGTACAACCAGGGGGCTTAATACCGAGCAACGGTCTCTCGGCGAGAATAACGTATCGAAGCATAAACAATTCCGAAAGTACGCGATCCTTTGATGTGGAGGCAATGTGCTGACATACTGGAGAGGAAGCCGCCGCAAAATATGAAGCAAAGTAGAAGAATGCGGGAGGCGAGCCTGTGTGCACGAGGAAGCAAATTGGAGAGTAATAGGTGAGGTTACAATCAAGCTGCCTTCTTTTACTACATGTATCTTATGTTACCATCTTTCGTCTCATGGCCTCCTCCTGACTGTCCTCGGCAATCTCGGACATTAGTGATGTCTTGCATCATCCAGTTTACCATACCTCGCATCGTCACGCTGATCGTACCTCACTTATCGTGATGACTGATGCATCATATTGACTCCTCCCAGTTCACAAGTGTACCACTGTCAGGCGCATCACCGTCAACATCGACCTCAACTTGTACCTTTGGTACCGTTGACGACGCTGGCGTGTCGTCGTCACCTTTGCCAACGTGTAAGAAGGCAGTCGGGTCTGTGAGGCATACTTAATTGAGTCTGCACTACGCCCGTAGCGTAGCACGATAATACACGCACCCGCTAGCGCACAAACGTAGCCAGACAATTGGTTAGGTAGGATGTGTAGGCTGCGCGGAAGAGGATGGATGCGAGACCGCGACGTTAGCTGAATGACTGCACCGTACCTACCGAAAGCATAATTAATGCCGTCATCTTCATCTATGTGTTAACTTCCCATAGTGTTTGTGTCCGCTATCCACTCTCGCTTCCAATAGCCCTTGCTGGCATGTCCGTGACACTCTTCGATTCTCGCCAGTCGTCAAAAACTTGACAACAACTAAGCAAAGACAACGTGAACGGACAACGCTGCGACGACCGTCATTGACGATGAGGACAAGCCTTTCGATACGAGATGCCTGATCGTACGAAACTGGATCCACTGCTCACGCATTCCAGAATCTGTTGGACTCGGACGCCCGATAGCATCAGAAGCGTTGGAGAGTTACGGATGCGTGCTGCTGATGTACCAGACGTGCACAAACCTCGTCAGCCAACTTTGCACTGCTCGATACAAAGCCCAATGTTGTGAGCTATAACCTTTGTCCTCGACACCCTGACCACGTCCATATCCGTACGACAAAAGATCAATCGCTTGCGCCTTCGGCATCGTAAACAAAGCCAATGCGGCCATGCAAATCGCCCATCTCGAACATGGTCGACAATACAACGAGCATGTGCGTCTGTACGAGAAATGCTGTAGTCAGTCAGCACCAACTCCCACCCACTCGAGGTCTTCGAAGGACGTGCGCGCGCTACCGATGACGTGGCCACAGCCGTCGAGCAAACATTCGTCATGCGAGTCACCTGCCCCACTCCATGTCGTACCGGCCAAACCTTTTCGGAAACTTACGGCTCCCACGACCTGTCGCGTACAGTTCCAAACCCGAGTCGCAGGTGTCGGCCTCGTGCGTGACGCGACTCGCGTCATCCCTCACTGGCTTTTATCCCGCACCTCAGACTTTCTCTCTCTCTTTTTGTATTGCAACAGACGGTACCTCTTTGCGCGAATTTCTCATTCCCGACCCACTGCCGTCGCGCGCTCTTTTTTTCTCTCTCTCTCTCTCTTTGTCTCTCTTTGTCGCTCTCTCTCTCTCAGCGGACACGTCGCGCGGCCTTATGGTGCTCACGGACAAGCAGCGCCAAGATCTGTACGTGTGTGTGTGTGGCATGTGTGTGTGTGTTTCTCTCTCTCGGTAGCTATCTAACTGTGCCCATCTGCGTGACACTGTGGTCTCTCATTCCTCACTCTCTCTCTCTCTCTCTGTTTGTCTGTGTGTCCTGACTGCTCTTGTCCCCCTCGTTAGTCATCAAGCCATGCTCGACTACCTCGTGGGCATGGGCGACCGCTTCGCCGCCACGGCCGCGACGTTCGAGACCGAAGCCGACGTGACCAAGTCGAGCGACGGCAAGCACGCGGGTCTCTTGGAGAAAAAGTGGACGTCGGTCATCCGCCTGCAGCGCAAAGTCATGGAGCTCGAGACCAAAGTGGCGCAGCTGGAAGAGACAGCGAAACTGGGCGGCGTCCTCAGTCGCCGGGACGTGCTCGGCGCCCGCCAGCGCGCCGAGTTCCTGCCGCGCGTGCCGGCCAAGCGCACGCTGACGGGGCACCGCGCGCCCATCACGTGCGTGGCGTTCCATCCCGTGTTCAGCGTCGTGGCGTCGGCCAGCGAAGACGCGACGGTCAAAGTGTGGGACTTTGAGACGGGCGAGTACGAACGCACGCTCAAGGGCCACACGAACCCCGTGCAGGCCGTGGCGTTCAACGGGTCGGGCTCGTTGCTGGCGTCGACGTCGACAGACCTGTCGGTGAAGATCTGGGACTTTTCCAGCGACGGCGACTACGAGTGTCTGCGGACGCTGCGCGGCCACGACCACAACGTCTGTGGCGTTGTGTTTGCCCCGGACCTGGCCAGCGACCGGCTGTACACGTGCTCACGCGATAACACGATCAAAGTGTGGGAGCTGTCCACTGGCTATTGCGTCAACACACTCAATGGTGGCCACAGCGACTGGGTGCGCGACGTGGCAGTGAGTGACGACGGATTGTACTTGGCGTCCTGCGGTAACGACCGCTCGATCCTCTTTTGGGACCTGCAGCACATGCGGATTCTCCAGTCCATCCGCGAGCACGAGCATGTCGTCGAGACGGTTGTGTTTGCGAAGACTGGCGTTCAAGCACAGGTGATCGAACGGACACACGCCAAGAAACTTGCGGCTTCAGGTGCGTTTGGACCGGGGAGCGAAAGCCTGTCGCAGGAGTATACGAGTCACGATATGACGAGCAGCACTGCAGGGGAGCCGTCCGGTGCAGTGGTTAGCACTGCTGGTCCGAGCGTTCGTCGTGTGAAGTTTCTCCTGTCTGGCTCGCGCGATCGCACTGTGCGTCTTTGGGAAGCCTTTAGCGGCATACAGCTCATGCTCTTTACGAGTCACGAGAACTGGGTGCGGGAGGTGCGCTTTCACCCGAGCGGAAAGTATGCACTCAGTGCAGGCGAGGACAAGACCATTCGCGTGTTTGACATTGAGGTACGACAGCAGCGTTGTGTGTGTGCGTAGTTTCACGGTCGTCTTGACGAATGTTCTGCCGCTCGGTGTTGCAGTCTGGTCGCTGTGTACGGACACTGGACGAAGCCCACAGTCATTTCGTGACATGTCTTGACGTCCACCCCAGTCTCCCGCTGATTGTTTCAGGCGGCATTGACAAGGTCATCAACGTGTGGGAATGCGTGTAAGGCAGGAGGAGCCGCGACAGTTGTACGTACCACTCAGGCTCGTCAAGCTATCGATGACAAGCAAAGCCGGTGACATGTGGCGCCGGGTATCGAATGACACTGGGCAGCTCCTCGTTGCCTGCTTTGCCGCACGTTTGCCAGCATTGGCAAATGATCGGATGAGGCAGACTCGGCGCTTTGGTTCGCAGGCAGCTAGCAGCAGACCGGCACCTGCTTGACAGGGAAGGTTGATACAAACCAGAAGAGGGCAGAGCAAGGTGAGGAGGTTGTGAGTAGTATGTCGCCTGCTCTCCGGTGGCCGTGTGTGTGTCGTATCGTAGATGGTTTGGGTCACATTGGTAGTTCCTCGAGCTGGAGGGAACCAGCACCGATCTCTAGCAGCGTAGAAGTGAACATTCGAGTGAGTCAAGTCACAGCCATAGTACCATCGCGTTCTCCCAGTCGTTTCTACTACCACTGACCACTGACCACCTCGAGCGGGCAAACACGACACAAAGCGAGACCGCCGTTTATTCCCCATCGAGCGACGTATGACCACGAGATGAAATGCAGCCTACCAAATGACTGGCGCCCTCGTCCCTTTATTCAAATTCTCCCACTTGAGGCCAAACTTTACACACTGCAGGAAGCGGTCAGCGAAGCAGCGAGCGATCGAGTCCCCACATTAGCAGCAGCAGCAGCAGCAGCAGCGAGCAACCAACTGCAGCTTCTTCTCAGCGTCTGTCCACTCCGCCAGCAATCGTCGACTCGGCTCTCTCTCTCTCTTCCTGTTGCTACGTCAACGATCTCTCTCCATCGCTGCTCACTTGTCCCAACCGGCCTGCAACTGCGGCTGGCCGACCTTCGAGCCTGCCCGTCTATCTCAGACGGCGAGCCTCGCGCTCCCACTCGAGCAGACACAAGATATCGCCTTCACGCACAGGTCCCTTGACGTTGCGGATGATCTTGCGCTTGTCGTCCTGCAGAAACTCGACGCGCACTTGCGTCACGTTGCCCGTGTTGCCCGTGCGTCCGAGGACGTTCACGACCTTTGCCAGCATATAGTCACGAGGGGCGTCCTAATGCGGTTAGACAGTCAGCAGAGCAGCACTTCCAGTTAGTCATATGAGCATCGCGCAACAAGGGGTCGGGTTGCTGTAGGTACACGACTACTGGACGCTGCGCCTGACAGCCCATACGATCGACCAGCAGCGCTTTACGTGGTCATATCTCGTCTCTGGGACGTCTGCTGCAACCGAATAAAGTCGGAGCAGAGGCACGTGCGCCTCCTGCAGACGTTCGTATGGGCCACACGATGGAGCGACGCGCACAAGCAGAGCTAGCGACACCTATGCAGAGCTCGCGACACTTACCATTTTTGCGTTAAACGTCGATGAGGTAGTGCACTCGAAGGCGAGGAATGGTGCACCTGGCTCGGCGGTAAGTCGCGCTTAAATCTGCGGGATTGCGTACTTCGAGACCCTGCGACCTCCGAGCTGTTATAATTGACGGTCTAGACCCGACTTGGAAACAGGGAATAGTTGCGGCGTTTTGACACGGTCTGGCGCAATGGCAGCTTCGATCGGCTTTGTGTGAAATACCTCTTGAGGAGAATAAAGCTGACGCATACACGGCATTGACGTGAGATTTCAGCCAATCCGGTCGACCGTTTCGCCGCGTGGTGGAGATTAAAGCCCGCTTAAGCAGGACTGGTGCAGACCAACCAATCAAGCGGCCATCTCGTCACTATCTCCCCCTGGCAGAGTGACACAGCGCACGTTGAAGTGAACCGCTGCGTGCTCGGCATCGTCTTCTTACGGCTTTGCACTCGCGCAATGCGTCCTCTCGACCATAACAATATCGTTGAGGGAGTTTGCCAAAGGCGCTTGACTCTGGACGAGACTTATGTGACGCTAATACATTGCGTGTCATCAGACTCGAAAGCTTTGATCGAGTGAGGCAGCAGATACAGAGGTGGATGGGCACCGGTTGCCACTGCGATGAACAAATGTTCGTCCGGCAAGTCAAATGGCAGAACGAGGCCAGCGCAATAACACGGGTAGCAGAGTTGATGAGCGCGATTGACGTGGTAAAGTCAAATGGACCACGCAAGTGTCAATTCCAATAACGCTTGTAGTGCCTCGTTGAGGCACAGAAACTAAAGCGCGGAATTGATCGGCAACGAAGATCGGTCTCTGTGCTGCTTGAATACGCTTTTGCAACGTTGCCACCTCCACGCAGACTTTGTGTGCTTCTCCCACGTAGCAATCAAAACCTCGCCTCACGAATTCTGCTTACGTCAGGCCCATCAAACCCTGAGTCTAGTGGCCATCATTCCGATGCAACGCGGGGCTGTGTCGGCGTTTGTAGACGCTCGTTTTGCGTATCTTGTTGACTGTTAGGCGGTTGTTTCTCTCTGTACATTCTGTGACCAAGGGCACCATAATATGGGCTGTTGTGTTGGACGACAACAGACCCTGACGTTTGCTGACTGTTGTTTCTAGCTCCACATAGTCAAACAACGAAACGTACTACACGCATGAGTCAATGTGCTGCAAATCTTACGCAAGTAGACAAAAGGAAACATCACGCGGCTAAGTCTGGAAGACGAACAAACTATGCTTCTCATTGTGACAGCTTGGTCTTGCAAGTATGGAAGTGAGTTTTTTGCATTAGCTTGCTTGCTGACATTACGCTCGTGAGTTTGCTATCTTCAATGAGGGAAAGACGTGTCACTAGCACAAGTGTAGCAGTAAGACGGTGTGCAAACCACTGTATCCACTGACGGTCCCATTGCCCTGGAGACTCATAATTGGAAGGTGCAAAACCCCATGCGTCATGCACTGTAGCAATCACAGCCGAAGACCTTAGCTGCAACGAACTGCGAGTAGAACAAGGTCTTGCATGGCACGTTACCACAATCCGTGACGACAGAGACGATACTATCGCACAACAATCAAACGATCATCGACGGGCGAGGTGCTAAAATTGCAACGAGTCGAAAGCACGAGCTTTGCAAACGACAGTACTTGGCTCGATCTTCTGCATACAAGAGCTCTGTTATCGCTACGTGGACTTCATCCGTCCATATGTTCTGGACTTTGTATACTGCTTCCATCCAGACGACGCGCCTCAGCCAACGTAGTGTCATTGCCGTGTACAAGCATTGTTTACAACGTACAGAATGCGTATCTATTTTCCATGGCCATTACGATCCACTTTCATCAGCTGACTTAGCGACAGGAGACAACTACGGAACAACTTGTGCTGCTGACGAAACATACCAAAGACTCTGCGACACCCGCCCATGCGCTCGTATACGTCCATCTTTTCCCTCCCGTCACGTCGCTGCTGACGTAAGGCGGCTGCTGCTGCTACAAATGCTTCTGCGGTAAGTATGCGGGACTGGACTGGACTAGGACGCATGGCTAGAGGATACAAACAAAAGAGCAGCCGAGTCGGAGACCGCACAAACGCTCGCTTCACGTCAACTGCATCTGCTTGTGGAATTCCTGCGTCAGCTCGTCCAGTGTCACGTCGGGATTGGCCTGGAAAAAGTCTAAAAACGCCTGAGCGCCAGCCACGCGCTCGGCAGTTCCGCCACCGCCTGCCCCGCCCTTCTCCTCGGCCTTGTAGACCACGTTCTCGGCCTCACACTGCAGCTCCTTCTTGTCATAGTACTCGGGGTCCGCCACGCGCTTCATGAGGTTCAGGAACTGCTCGTACTCGCAGCACGAGAGCAAGATCTGCACCAAGAAGCTCAGCCGCGTGTGTCGCTGGCGCTCTTCCGACAGCGCCATCTCCTCGTCGCAGCGCGTGCAGTACTGCTCCATCGTAAAGCCTCTGGCAACGAGGAACGCCTCAATGTGCGCGTTGGCCGTGTCAATGAACGCCTCGTGCAGCTCCTTCCACGACCTGTGCACCAGTGCACCACACACAACACAGAGAGCCACAGCGACACGACGACAGAACCGGTCACCCACACCCACATCCAGACACAGAGATGAACAAAGAGACAGATAGAGAGAGCAAGAAAAGCGACAGGGGGCGTATACAGACGCAGACGTACGGCTCGACTTCGTCCAGCGCGGCCGCACAGGGTCCGCCTTTCGTGAGGAGAATGGCAAAGTGGCTCGCGTGGGCGCCGCAGAAGGCGTCGATGGCCTCTTGGAAGCCGTCGCTGCCGACGTACGCGGCCACCCACTCGAGCACGTCGTCCTCGGGCTCCATGTCCTTCACGAGCGGCGTCTCGTAGCGCAGGAGCAGGTCGATGGCGTCGAACACGGCCATGACCAGAGGGCGCGGCGGGTGTGTCGTGTACGTATGTGTGTGTATGTGTGTGTGTGTATGTGTTTGTGTGTGTGTTTATATATGTGTTTGTGTTTTTATATGTGTTTATATGTGTGTATCAAGTCTGAGAGACAAAGGGCAGAGTCTGATACACTCAGTGTGCGAGTCGAGTCGGTGAGGGAACGAAACAGACGGCGGCCGCTTCTGTGCGGCGACTGACTGACTTGCGAGTGGTATGCGGCGATACGAAACAGTTGAGAAGCGATCGATCACGTCAAACGGGCGAGACGACGACGGCGACTGTCGCTGAGCACAGTGTGTGTGTGCGTATGCTGTTGGGTGGTGGGTCGCTGTTCAGCGCATAGACAGACCGTGCGACAACTTCCAGCGGTGGTACGTCCTGAGAAAAAGAAGGGGGGAAAAGAGACGTTCCTCTCTCTCTCTCCCCCCACTTGCGATTCGTTTTCCTGGTCGAGTTGGGCCACTTGCGGTTTGTTTACCATGCGATCCTGAGTGGTACAGGTCGGGATTTGTCAGTGAAATAGTATCTATGACGAGTCGGATTTGTATCTCGACTGGCGGTCCTTCTTGATCGCACCTTTTGGGCTCTCTACGGTATTTCTTGTGGTACTCGACTCCAAAGTCTCACTCGCTGGACTGTCATTGGCCATCGAGCGCAACCGACACAAAGCTCGTGGAAAACGACTTTTTTTGCTGTTCCACGAGCGCACACAGCTTGCGTGAGAAAACGGCGGATGGTGCACACTGTCAAGCTTTTGTCGTTGATAACACCCGCTGGCCGAACGAGAGGTCTACAAATGGAGCTCGTTCGTTGATCCATGATGGTGCGAGCACGACATTAAGTCATCTATCGTGAAGGACTCTTTTTGTTGCGGACAAACGATAGTGTCAGCTTGTTAAGCAGTGCAGTTGTCACAACCCCGCGGATCAGCTCGTCACAGCTCACGGCTTACATGGCGAGATATGCGATTTGCCACGTGGTCTCTTCGGTTCATGCAGACTCGGGGTCAACGACTTCGATCTATTGGTACACTACCAGGTACCGCGCAACCCGAGTGCTATTGTGCAGTCCGACGAAGCTGACGGTATGACTCGATCACACATTGGGCTATTGACGCGATACACGCACTTGCGACCGCGAAGCCTTAGCTATGGAGCGGTATTACATCGAATCTCAGACACGTCGTTGGCACGGTGTCGTTGCTCTCACATTTCGATGGCCCACATACACTATCGATCGGTAAAGGGCTAAACGGGTCAAAGGACACGTGTCATAAACACCATGATGTATCTGCTATGGTGTAAACGAACTCGCTTCATCCATGCATTTTCGATACACCTCTATCCGTTCCGCTAAGAATCGCCACAAACAAATGTGGTGGTATGAAATATCTTTTCGTTTTCTACTCGGGTTACCTTTCTGCGTCTAGAACTTTGGTCTCAGTCAAACGTCGCTAGTCATTCGAAGGCCGCCGATCGTGATTTGCCTCGCCGAGAATAGACATAGTTCAGATGCTGCAGGTAAGTCTGCAACTAGTGACTCAATTAACCAATTTTCCGACATCACAAGTCCATCACTGACAAGAAGTTACAAGCTGTGGGACACTGGACCAAATAGGTGTGATATGCTGGGACAGACCTCGCGAGGACCTGTGGTCCTTTGTTTGGTCTCAGCCTGACGACATCTCATAGAAGCGCTAAAAAGCTGAAGCAATCGGCTGACAGACTCCTTTGCATCTGCAACAATGCAATGCTCGATCACATCCATACCTATCCCTGTATCGACAAGAGAAGAGCTGACGTCAGGCAAGTATGCTCATGTGTTCACTCGTTTGACGTCAGCTGATGAACGTTTGTACATCGATTGTGTAAACCTGAATGGAAGGATGTCATGACCGCAGCACAGTTGATATCGCATGAACTGATCACACTCCGATATCGAATCGCAATCAATACTTGATAACATCACCTACGATCAATTTTCGTAATCCTACAGCCTTTTGTTATCCTATCGGTAGATATCCCTCTACCGGTAGCTGCTCCATACCGGTCGCTCTTCCCATACCGGTACAAACCGTCTCCGCTCCCCACCACCTGTGCAGCAGCAGAGATGGCGACGCGCAGCTCGCGGCCGTCGCGCATCGCTCTGGACGACGTCCAGGAGCCGACACGGCCCGCCGCTGTCTCGTCTCCTACTGCAACCACTGCTGACCTGTCGCTCTCTCCGAGTACGCAGCGCAGCAGCGACTACAGCGACGACGACTCGTCCACGGCCACGCTCCTGTCCCTCACGCACTCAGTCCGGGGCGAACGTCCGCTGCCGTCGCTCCACGCGCCGCTCATTTTCCGCGACGTGCCGTTCTCTGTGGCGTTTCTGCTCCATCTCGTGGCGCTGCTGCTGCTCACGGACCACATCCGCTCGGCGCACGGGCCACGGAACGACCGCCGCGACGTCGTGGGCGAACTGCTGGACGACGACCTGAGCGAGACGGCGGACGCCTTTGACGTTGTCGTGACTCTGCGCTCGCTCTGCCTGGTCAACGCGCTCTTTTCACTGGGCTGGCTGCTCGTGTTTGTCGTCGGCAGCAAGCGGCGCTTCGTGCAAGGCTCGTGTCTCTTGGCCTTCGTGGGGCTCTCGACGCTTGCCGTGTTGCTGCTGTTTCGACTGGACTCTGTCTACGCTCTTTGCTGGGGACTGCTTGTTGCTGGCACTGTGGCGCTTGACGTGGCGTGGTACGTGCGCTGCAACGGCGGGCTGGACTTTGTCGCAGTGTTCTTTGACCTCGTTGTGGACTTTTTGACGACGCATCCGGCGCTCGGATATGCTACATGCACGACACTCGGAGTCTATACTGCGTGGGCCATTTGGGTCTGCACGACGATTGGGTATGTCGAGCACGAGGCGTCGCTGTGGGGCTTTGTCATGGCGTACCTCGCCTTTCACTTTTACTGGACGTCCAATGTGCTGAAGAACGTTCTCACTGTGGTCGTGTCCGGCACGACCATGATCTGGTACTACCGAAACGAGCCAAGTGAGATATCGCCTGACGGACGTGAGAGCGTCACAGACAGTGACTGTCCTCGCGGCGAAACCTCTGACCACGCACAGCAAGATGTAACGACGGACCACCTCGACCGCAAGGTCGTGCTGCACTACGCGCGATGTGCGTTGTCAAGTTCGTTCGGCTCCATTTGTATCGGCTCCATGCTGTGCCCTATAGGTCACCTTGTGTGGAGCGCCCTACGCTGGGCCCGACGAGACGAGTCGGTTCTGTCACGATGGTTTCTGTTGCTACGCTCGGAGCGAGTGGAGCACTTTATCCGCACGTACCACAAGTATTCGTTCGTGCACATCGCGGGCTACAACAAGCCGTACTACGTGGCAGCACACGATTCATGGAAACTGATCGAATTCGACGGCGTGGAAGCAATTGTCGATGACGATTTGACCAGCCGCGTCTTGTTGTTTGGTGCTAACGGCTGGGCTGGCGTCATGAGTGCGCTGACTGCGTTGGCACTGACGGGTACTTCGACACACGCGACTTTCTGTACAATGGTGGCATTCGCACTGTGCTACACGACTGTTTCGTTGGCGACGCAAGTGATTGCAGCGGTCATCAAGACACTGTTTGTTTGCTTTGCCGAGAATCCGGAACGGCTCAGCCAGCTGCACCCACTTATTTACCACCGCTTTGTGCGACTCGCGGAGCTCAAGAGCTTTCACGACCACAAGGCACCAGTCGGGTATCGTGCTTCGCCTGATACCCAGTCGTGACCAAAAGGGCGAGTGGTAGCTGAGCCTGAGAAAACGCGACAGGCACTACTGTCAATAGAGTCTAAAATGCATGTATCGTCCGGATGCGAATTGTTTAGTGCCATAGTAAGAGATACAATAGGATCCAATCTTGGGATCAAGCCATTCATACACTAAGTTTTCGCCCATACTTTGGGTCACACTGGTAAAGGCGCTTCCTTCGCTATGACAAACAGCTTCTTGCTCGCCCTGATGGCGCTATCGGCCACTGGAACGTGTCTCGTGCCAATGTTCGGTCTACTTTGTCGATTGCAGCCACAGTTCATGCACGGCCTGAGCAATCGCACCAGCAGGGCCGAGGTCAATTGCTATATAGTAGGCGCCCTGTACGCCGGTGTATTCTTCACGTGCCTACTCAGTTCTCGCAATTGCTGGGGCAAGAAACAAGAAACGGCTCTGAGCACTGGTCTAAAGAGGAATAAGCGCTACAAGCTTCCGTTTGTGGAGCTGGAGAGCAAGGAGTTTGTCCGCGCCATGGAAATAATGGACAGGAACGACGACCGCCGTGCCCGAGCTTTTCACGGCGTTTCGCTCCGTCGTCTGTAGTGCAGTACCGCACGAGTGGTCGAGTTCAAGTTGATCGAGCAGGCGCGTATATGCTTATTGCCTGACACCGATATAGAGATAGTAACGAAATGAAAAGCCGGTGTCATGAACCTCTCGTCAGCGTGTCTTCAGCGCACTGGGGCGACGATACAGTGACGACAGCACAGGACGCGAAGGAGAAGCGCGCAAGAGCCTCTTGATAAAGGACAACGCAATCTTTCTGCCGAATTGTGCATCTTGGATAGCCCAGCGCTTGTAGGTGATAATAACGCTAGAGACATATGCTCACGTACGTACTGCATCACGTGTTGCTGCTGGACAGCTAATGTGAACCCCTTCGGCCTTTACTTGCGAAGCAGTGTGTCATCCTACATACGGCGCAAGGCGTTCGTATAACCTGGTGACGGAGCACGTATGTGACAACGTACGTCCACGCGGTCGTCACAGACGACAACAACTTGATGTGGATGGACAAGAAGAGTATCGCCAGCCTCGTTATAATCTGCACGAAGTCACAGAATCTTCTCACGCCGCAGCGTGGAGGCAGAAACGTGTCGTATGGATACCGTTAGTGCCAAAGGAATGCCTGAACTCGCATTCTCTTACAATAAGCAGAACGTGAACATCTCACCAGCACGCAAGGAGACACGCAGTACGTCTTCGCGCTTCAATCACGGGCTGAAGGTTAGTGATCTAGTAGGCAGTGCATTCGATCGCAGCGCCGAGATCGCCAGGCAATTACTTAGAGGCAAAGGAGTCGATGTGATGGAGCTGACGGCGAAGTCTTTTGCTTGGAGATAATCACCAACTTTTGCAAATACTCTCATGGGCTATCTGACATCATAGAAGCAGTTGTGGACACATCCGACGCTTGCCAAGGCGATTGGAACGGCGTGGTGTGGGGTCGCCACTAGGACGCTCATTAGCTTCGTTGAGTTGTGTAAGAATAGCGCTATTTGCTGGTACTTCGAGCGACAGTAGGAAGCAAACGTACTGCGAAGTCGAACGATCCGTTATAAAGGCTGTTGAGCCTATTGGTGCTTAGGCTACGCTTCTGCAGCAAATACAATATCCTTTTCGCGCACTTGACGTGCACACGCAGGATATCTTGTTTGCTCTTCTCCAGAAGTGGGCAAAGTCTTTGCGCAACATAACAGGACCCACCTGCAAACCCGTTTCTGGTCGAAATATCAGAACAGCGGTGTTTATTTCATCTAAAATTCACGTAAAATAAATATACACTCTTATTTCTGCGCATTCCGTTTTAGCTGTCAACTAGCGCTTGCTTCATCAGGCTTAGGTACGCTTTTTTATCTATGAAGCGCACAGGTTTTACCTATGCCATCCAATGTCATTTTAACGACCTAAATACTTGTTCACTTACTTGCGCGTCATGTCATTGTGCATTTGTCCCAAACGCGAGTGGTAAGATCCCGCACTACCTCTACTTGAGCGTCGTGGTATCAGTGTCGTTCTGCCCATTGTACATACTTCGTACTCAAAGTGCTTACAAGTAGGTTATTGACTGACTCGAAGTGCTTACACGTGACATTATTATTGACGCAGCGGTTCCGACATGTTCGACCCGTGTACAAAGCTCGACATCCTGCTATACAATCGGCGCGTGCAAGATTCCTTGTTTTCCAGAACCATAGACTTGGCGGCACGCCATACTGTGAGTTTAGACCGCAGTGAAAAATAACATTAGAGCTGGATACTCCTCAGATCGAAAACGCTACGAAGTTGGATGTGGCTGTCCAATAAGTGGCGATACTGTACTCTACGTGCACACGACCTAGCAAATTTGTGCGCTCTAAGTGATTGCGCTTATATGTGGTGCATTCGATCATCTCACCAGGATCACTGGTGCCCATTCATACGACAGCTATACGTTTGATGTTGTGCCGATCGCAATAATCCATTCTTTACTCACCGTTCATGCGCTACCAGCGCATAGGTACCGGATACTGGAGTGGTGATGCTGGATCTATCGGCTGAAACGTAAGACTGATGCAAACCTTACTCAAGCTTGCTGCGGAAAGAAGACAATCTGATGCTGCGGGATGGAACGTTATGGCGCTTCTTAATGGATATTTTTGCATTAACCTCCTGCGGGTCGCCGTCAAATTGCGACTTGAGTCGCACAGATCCTATGCTAGCTGCATTTCTGACGCAGTACAGGGCCTCAGCAAGCGTTCTTCATCACCGTTTCTGGTGATCTTACATAACGCAGAGTGTCGCCCGTTCTAAGCGTATAAACGTCACAAGGGTCTACCAGCTGTCACCTGATGACAGTGTAGCTCGCATGCTTGCGACTATCCGACGACTTACTGGGCTCGGTTACCAAGCCAATATCGCATCAACGTATTGCTGGGCAGCGAGCACAGTATGGTTGCTAAAGAAGTTGCACAAACGATGCTATTCCATGCACAGATGTCGAGAGGAGTGGCCATGAAGACTCGACTCGGGCACTGAACCCGGTACACGAAAGCTGAAGCGTGCGCTTCTCTGATCTTGAAGCGTCGAGTTGCATGATCGACAGCAACGGCCATTTTTTGACAGCCCATGGACTAGTGCGAATCGACGTTACTTGCAGCAATGCTACCCGGCACAACATTGGATGAGTGATCGCGCGCGCATCGCATATACCAATGGCCTAACCTAACTGAGTAAACTTGTTTCACCGGTCGCGCTAGTTCAGACGAAGACCATAGACGAACATCAAAGTCTCACTCGCTCCTCTTTCCTTATATTTAGTTTCCACCACATCACGCTCAACATCTCATCACACGCAACTACGTTGTATGCAACTCGCGAGCCTCAGCGCACTTGCGGTTATATACCATGCAGCTCTGCTCAACTCTCGGTCGGCTCAGCTCGGGCGCTTGACTGGAATTTCGTAGCAAACTCGTCAAACGCGCGCAGGAAGCGACTGTCAGTCCAGTTGATCTCGGCACCATTGGCCAGATGAGTCGGGGTATCGTCAACTGCGCGAAGGGTGCGGTTCTGACACCCGTAGCTGTCCGCACTGCCAATCTGCGGCATTGCAGTACCGGGAGCAATGTCAGCGGGCGTCACCGTTCCCTGCACCGGCGTTTGTGTCTGCGCCCCCGAGTTGTTTATAATCGGCGCGCACTGCTTGTAGATCTGCCAGTTGGGCTCGTGGAGCGCGAGCCAGTAGAAGCGCAGGGTGCACACGCCTGAGCACCGGGAAAAGTCGACGTTCACACTCGCGGGGAATCCGGTGCCGTACGTCGCGACGCAGTCATCCTGTCGGTCCACCATAGTGTCATCAATCCAGACTTCGCACGGGCCATGGTGCGAGTCAATGAATCCCTTGTGCTCCTTGTCGTTTTGCCAATTCATGACAGTGAGGCCGGACACGTCCACTGGCGGACCGTCTGTGCGAGTGTTGGCGCAACTCGGCACTTGCTGGTCGAGCATATCCCTCAGCGACTTGTAACCTGTCTGGGCGAACGACGATTTAAAGGTCGCAGTGTTGCCTTCGGGACTGCCGTCCCACTTGAGTCCTCCGAAGGCCGCATTGACTGCAGCTGTAATGGTCTTGGCGTAGACCGTCGATGTGGCCGCGTCGATGAATTGGGCTGCTGGCTTGGACATGTATCCGTGGGCGTGCGTAGAATCAAAGACAAGTGTCGAGATGGCAACAACTGCTGTGCCCACGGCGCAGAGGCTGCGTTGCATGTTGCTCGTGTATGGAGAGAGACGGTGGCTCTTGTTGCGGGATGGCAAAATGAAAAGTGAAGAGGTCACACACGCACTGGCACGCACTGGAAGGCAGCAGCCCGCAGCGAGTTCTTGCACGTTTTGCAGATTTCCTGCACCAACACTTGGCGATCGCGAGAAGGCATCAGTTGCGTGTTCAAACAAGATGTCGTCGCCACACATGATACCCGTAACCGAGAAGGCGTTTCCAATCACCATCAGGACCTGGATACTACGTCTGATCGATCTTTCGGCTTCGCTAGACGTGACTAAGAATAGCGAGACGTCATGGACCTTGTTGCTATCCTTGTCAAACACCTTGACATGCGGTTACTGTTGACCGTTTCCAAATATGAAAGGACACCCATCAACAATCAACGGTCTTCGAGCTGCTGTTCGATCGAACGCGAGCATATTGAGGCACATCAGCCACTTCATTGCGAACAGCAGCTTTCGAGTCGTTCTTCTAGTACAGCCATCGGCGCTTCTGGTTCACGTGTTGCGGGTCAATACTCTTCGAAGATCCCGCATTGCGTGGGCATTAATACGTGAGACCAAAAGGGTTCGACTCAATCTCAAACTCGATTCACCATTGCGCATCAGCTTGTAGCAATATTCGTACTGTCTGCGAGTGAGTCACCACCGTCAAGTCATCAGCTCTAGTCGAATGCGGTCCATTGTAGACGCTATCTCATACTATCAACGCGTATGCAAGCGTTCTTTGTCGTCGGATCTAGTATAGACCTACATGTGATATAAAAGCTTGTATCGAGCGCACGAAAGTTACGTGGTGCTCATGCAATCGCGCGACGATGCTGTACGCGAGCTTTCAACTACATGATGACTTGCTATCGTTTCGTGCTAGTTTCACGCGGGTAATGTCCGCTAGCGCTGTGGCCTTTCGTGTAAAGCGGACACAGCTCGAGTTGGAGCCGCATGAAAAGTTACTACCCTGGCACACATTGTGCGTGACAGCAGGAGAGGCGATTCGGGTTTGTATTCTTTTCCTTTCGTGTATCGGTAAAGTACATTGTGATTGTCAACGCTACGATAAGCTTTCCCGTATCCGTTTTCGCGCTGCACCGAGAGCAAAGTTCGGAACTGTCAAAGGTGTGCCACTAAATTTGGTCGAGTAAATGTCTGCCAACTTTAAACGGAAAGGAAAGAAAGGATGGCTATGCAACGGTATGGCTCTTTCTATGGTGTCTGAAACTTGTCCAGCTAGCATAGCAATTGCCAGTGTCTGTCTGCATTCGACCCGGTGGTTGTACGTGGCTCCCTGGTACTGCGTGCAACACTTAGTTGGGTTGGCGCCGAGAAGTCGTAGTATGTATCTGTGCGTTCCTAATACATTTGTGTGAGGCTGCCTTCGTTTTCTTGCAGCCATGCACGTATCCACCTCGAACAAGTATTTGGGCGCTACCTTTTGCATTGACCGCGTTGCTGTCGAAGACACTCAATTCCGCTGGACCCGTAAGACTGTGACGCATACGTAGCAAATTAAACACATTCATCCCTCGACAACAAATCTGGTACGTACCACATTTTTCTGCATTTTGTCGTACAAGTCTTCGCATTGCGCTTAAACGCCCGGTTTAGTTGTGTCTCGGTGACTGCTGATTACCATGTGCTGGCAGGTATGCTATCCAGACCATACTTCGCACACTCACGTTTGCAGGCAATGATTGACTTTGGCATGTTCAAGTTGCAGTCGAAGCCAACAACAGCCCCTTGTGCATATGGGCATGCCCAGAAAATATGCTCCGAGTCTATGTTCGCGTCGGAACGGCTGCACATTGCCTGATAGTTTGTTGTAACGCTGCAGCGTGCAACTCGTCATATTCTGAGCTGTGCCGAGCTGTATCATCGGACCCGCCACATCTTCCTTAGGTGCGCTTTTACTTGCCAATGTAGGTGCTTCACTAGCCTCTGGGGCATATGTTTTCCGAGATGGTGTCTGGAACGCTCGACTGGGAGCCAACAGATACGGAGGTGGGTCATTAGCTCAAGTCATGGCTTGGCCATGTTCTCTGTGCTTTGTTAGAGCGCTACGCCATAAAGCTGTAGCTGTTTATAAACCATGAGATCAGATCAGACAAGTTAGACTCTGGCTTTGTGCAGTCCGTACCAACCACGAAACCAAATGAGGAGTCCTGAACTGCAGCGAGGAATGCGATTTACGAGGACACCAATCGTAGCCAACTGAAAAAGTCTATATGTGCTTTTTTCTACGCCGAGTCACGCCGAAGGGTGGGGTCCTTGTGCTCGTCGTAGTTCCGCTCTAGATAGTCTACATGCACAAACGCGCGCTCGACATTGTCCAGCTCCTCTACTTTATTCTGCAAGCTCAGGCTGATGTCATGAGCGTCCTTGACGCACATATCTTCGGGAAGAATGACTTCCATCTCCACCAAGTAGTTGTTGCCGAAGTGGTATGCTCGCACAATGTCTGTCCTCATCATTGGGTGGTGAACATCGCCGAGTAGACGAATCTGGTCGATGAATTCTTGGGTAGCCTCTGCAATAGACAATCAGCCATGCAACGTGAGGACAGAAGTCTACCACGCGTATGTGTTACATGGCCCTGCACAAAAGTCACGTACGCAAGCCAACGAGGCGCTCCACTTGCTCCTTTCCGGTTGCTAGCCAGCTGACAGCAATGTACACCGAGATCACGACTGCGCCAACCGAGTCAAGATACCACAGACTCGAGTGGCAGTGCGTGGCAACAGCAGCCGCGACTGCGACCGTATTGCTGAAGACGTCGTTGCGGTGATCCTGCAGGCAGTAGAGACCAAAGGCGTTTGTGACCAATACATTGTAACAAGCAGCAGCAGCAGCAGCAAGCGAGAGCTTTACCTGTGCCAGAGCATCCGCTGACGGCGAGTGCGAGGCAATCTTCGCACAGACGTACCACAGCACGAGCTTGACGAGAATAGCAAGGAGCAGCACGGTCATGGTAAAAGTCGAGATGTCGACCTCGCGCTGCTTGCCATTGAGCCCTTCAACAAGAGCCTGCACCGACTGCTGGATCACTTCAAGCGCTGCGACATCTCACTTCGTGTCAGCACAAGTGCCACCTCTGTAAAAACGGCCCACGTTGTAGCTGCTGCTCACTCACCTGCAATACCCATGAGAGTCGCAGATACAATCACTGCAATGGGCTCGAGTCGCCGTCTGCCTGCCGGATACTCGACGCTGGGCGTGTGCATTCGCTTGTCCGAGTACCAAAAGAGCGCCTGGGACGTGAGGTCGAGGATTGAATCCACTAGAGACGACAGCACAGCCAGTGAATTGCTCGTCCACGCTGCATAGATCTTGACCAGGGCGAGGGCCTATCAACATGTACACAACACCCGCACACGTGAGCAAACACACACCACACACACGAGTTTAAAACAATAAGAAACACTTTGTGTATAAAGCAGCCAGCAGCCCGACCACGTCGGTAGGAATGGGGCTCGATATGGCACGAGGGAGACGCACCACATTGGCAGAAAGGGACGCATTGATCGCAGCGAGCACGTGCAGCGTCGAGCCCGGGGACGAAGCCGCGAGATGCTGCGTCTCGTCTTTCTTCAGCAGAAACGCATGCGACACCTGCGATCGGTGGAAGCGCTCGGCCACCTTCGGGTCACCTGATGGCGTCGACGTCACGGGGAGCAGCGAGCCGTAGTCCGGGAGCGACTGCAACTGGCGCTGCTGCAAAGATGGCGAAGTGAGTGGCGAGGACTCGGCCATCAAAAGAGCGCGTGCGGGAGTCGGCGGGTGAGTGGGCGTGTGGGTGGATGGGTCAATGGATGAAGAGGGACACTACTATGGACTGGAGACTGGAGACTGGAGACTGGCGGGGCCTCGTACACAACAAATGACTTGGCAAAACGATGGGCACTGTACGCAATGGGACGGCCGAGTGCGTCGTGGCCGTATGAGACGCGGGTGGTCGTGGGGGATGTGCTCTTTCGAGTAAGGGGATACCACGTTGTGGCAAAAACGGACTTTCCTTCGCCGACTCTTTCTGTCTCTCGATCTTACGAGCACAAGACATGTCGGGGTGTAGACAGAGGATATCGTTGCCCAATGTGCGACAGAATGATAGCGATCGGACGATACAAAAAGTCAAAAGGATAGACAGTTGAGCGATACTAACGTTCATAGATGCGAGCTGTAAGGCGATCTGCTTTACTGAAAGGCTCAGCGTGGACGATGAAGACTCTCGTTGGCGCTTCAATCGTGCTGACGCTTGCGCTGCCTTTGTCGCCAGTTGCGTGCAAGCACCACGTCGTAACCGACTGCTTCTTTGCAGCCTCACGTTGATACAGAGGCGCCAATTCACTTGCTCACGATGAAAGAAAGAACTAGCTTTGCACTGTCCGCCTGTGGTGGAGAGGCTTTAGGCCGGTATTGCCTCATGTACTGCAGTAGTTGGGGCAGGCAGTGATTGCCAAGACAAGCTACAAGATGTCTTGCTATATGCTATCGACACTTGAGGCGTGGGATCATTATGTGAGGCGCATGGTGTACGCTTCGAGGCCAATCATGTCCTGACTTCTTGTCTTCATCAATCTCTTCGAGTAATGGCACGCTTTTAAGTAGGTCAAAGGCATACGCTCCTCGCTTCATCGCGTTCACGTCGTGCCATATCTTCTATAGACGCACAAGATTCGCTAGTTTACTTGCGTTGCTATATCGAAGCCTTCCTCCCGTACTTCCCTCGGCATCTGTTGCTTGCGTTGGTCGGGTATCGGTGGAGGCACTGTCGAACACTACAGAAGCTGCTGCATGTTAATCAGCACAATGTGAAATCTAGCATTTTTAGACTTTTTCCTACACCAGAAAGGTTGGCTTTGCCACAAAAGCGACACCATGGTAATCAGAAGTCAGAATTGCAAGACGTTGAGCTCGTCAAATGAGAATCACCGCCTTGACTGAATATTGGTGCTAAACTCTAGTCCGCTATCGATCCTTGCCCCGTTAAGAGGACACTGCTGCAACATGCTAGCTTCACTTCCATTCGATTAAGCGGTCGAATGCTCACACGAAGTCAGACACGACATGGTATCTCCGTCAAGTCAGCTCGTCTAACTGACGATGGGGAACGTCGAATAACACAAAATTCAATGTATCTGCGATCTTCCTAGCAGATGAATAGTCGCTCGTTGAGAAGTTATGCATCATATTGAGACGTTAATTTAAGTAACGACTTCGTGTCCCCTTCGCCTACATTGTCAAGTACAGAAGGTGGAGACTTATTGCTTATAAAATGATAAAAAAATAGGTGATCGCGTTGCGCACCGAGTCATCCAAGAAGCAAACATTGCGATAAATGGTGCAAAGTAAAGTTACCAGTACCGGTCAATGTTTGCTTCTTCGTCACAAGTCGCTGCTTTCAGTCTATGCATTTGATCAAAGATGGTCCGATGATTGCGCCAACTTCGAAACGATTTCAATGCACTCAGCAGATCAAAAATGTCCAACGAGTTTACAAATTATCGGTTCATTTCACATCACGATGACGAAAAAGCGCCCAAGCTGCAGTATCCGATTTAGCTAGCTACGCGAATGATCGGTAGCCTCATATTTCAGATACCAGCAGCAGCTTTTTCTAACAGCCGTAGTCACTTACATATTATTTTGGTCCCAAAGCGTATCAGCCCACTTTATATAGCATACTGACCGGCTAAATTGACCCGACAGGCACGCCTTGAGTGTTCGTGCTCGTCTGATCATATGTGTCTTATTCTAGCTCATTATGGGTTAATGCGCCTTGGAATTCGCCGTCGCTAGATTTATTACGCCATGCAGATCGAAACATAATGTTGCTGTAGATCGATACGAACTAATTGTGTTAATACTGAGCAACGTCATGTACCGTCTGTTTTTTGATTATGCTGTCATAACCTACTGATCTGAGCTCTTGCATCATCTTTGAGTACATCGTACAGATAGAACCGTATGACTCGATTGTCTTTTCATTCGCTCGAGTAAGGGCTAATAATCAACCGTTAGCTAGTGGCCGCCGTCGAAAATTCAATCCGATGATTGTCCAACGATTGTCGACTGACCGTAAATGGTCCTCAATGTGAACTAATGACAATCAGATCGTGCCGTCAAAAAGCAGCCGTCACGACATCAGCATCGACATCATACGCGTGGTCGCAGCGTGATCTGTATAAGCTCCGAATCCGTGTCAGCAGCATACCATCGAATTGTAGCTGGCGAATAACAATCCTAATCGCCTGCTTGTTCCTTCTACGTCGAAGCAGCGTTTCGTTCACTTACTTGAGACACCTTGCTGGACGTTTATGCACATAATATATTCTTGTTGCTTACGAGGAACCTTGTGGCGTAGGCGAATATGATCATACAAGCGATCACATCGACTTCCGTCGTATTGCAGACATCATCTTGCCTGCACGATGAAACTGAAGTCGATCGCATTTGTGGTGTTTCAAGAAGAAGTTATCGACATTATGCCTTCGACTCGTTGGACGAATTTTGCCTTACTTAGCGATTGCCTTACCTAGCGATCTAATTTTGTGCGACATTACATTGTCCACATAGTCTTTGTTTCATATCTTTATTGCGCACCATGTTGTTGGAATCGACCATATGGCGGTCCGCATCAGAATGGCTTGTGCATACGAGATATCATCGCTGGAACGGGTATTGAGGAAAGTTACGATAGCGGCTGTGGATGCAGCCGAGCCATATGCTAGAACCCGTAAGTATATGGCTCGTCATCGTGTGCAACTTATGCGTGAAACGTGTGCGTCACTCGTAAATACACTGTTCCCATTTGCATTCGATGCAGCCATCTCTAGGTCCAGCAGATTGCCTCGCTATCGTCAAATTTGATGCAAAGCGCGTCAATCGATTATAGTAGCGATAGCACCTACCTGATAAAGCGATCTGTGTAGCATTCCACATTCTACATTTTTCAAGAAGCCACTCAAGACGCCATTCGGACTCATCCTCACGGCGTGCATTTGCCGGTGCTTTTCGATTCTCGTATTATTATGTGTATTGCAGCGCGTGCCTCTCACTGGGAATGATGATTTCACCAATGCATCCAGATTCGCAGCTTTCTGCTTGGGACTCCGACCGTGTTCAACCTTGATAGTGTCGCACTCACATGATACAATGACTGCGACAGAGAACGATCGAACGGAATAGGCTGAGACGGATTGTTACAATATACCACTGCTTAGCACAAGCAACCGTGCACCCGAGTGCCCGGCAATCTAGCTTGTCCACCACGACGACAAGCCAAGACCGTCTTCGTCAATCGATCCCTGAGCGTGTGCAGTAGCGAGAACGAGATGTCAGAAAACGAGCGCGACACATACCATTGCAAAAGCAGTCATCCCACCAAGATGTGTATAGCTGATGGCGTAGGGTCATTGTCCGAGAGATCGACGCTTGAAGACCGTCGACGGGCCAACGACTGCCGCATGTCTCCAGCGCTAATATCCTTCTCCGCCTTATCGATCGCCTCTGTTGTCGTAGCTTGAATGCCTGAACATCAACGGTAACATATCAGTTTCACAAAACTATGTGCAGTAAGCTCCGTCAATCACCTCACCTTTTGCTGTCTTGATCACGCGCGTAAAGTTGATGTTCGTCACGCGAAAGCGGATCTCCTCGTGCAAGTCCATGTAAAATTTCTCTGCTCACACCACGTCAACAACAACAAAATCACAAACGCACTCCGTCAGCAGCAATCGTCCGTCTCCATCAACGCCCCGTCTGCAACATCTCTTCACCTTGTCCGTCCGAGTACTTCCACACCCACAACTTCTCGGCCTTATCACTGCGTCGCACCAGCCACACCAGCCACACCACCACACGACCAGCACCAAAATCAGTCCCAATACATCGTGATCAGAATCCACCCCGCCCGTCCCCCACACTGCAGTCAGCTTCAATGGCTGCACGAGCTCACGTCCACTCGCGTCACACGTACAAGTACGACGGCGTCTGGAGCGCATAGGACGGGATGATAATGTCCTGCACAAAGTCCATCGACACGCGGATGTGCTCGTCCGTGCAGCTCACGATACGCCCCTTGAGCACTTCGCCCACGAACGGGCGAAAGACGACCATCCGAAACTCCACGTGCGAGTGCGACGTGCCGTCCGACGGGTGCACGAACGCGTCGCCAATGCGCACAAAGTCGAAGAGCGTCACGCACAGTCCGACGTCGGCGATCACTTTGTTCGCGTACTTGCGGTCGATCTCTTCGATGAGCACCTGCGCGTAGTCGGCGTCGAAGAGCGCCGGCGCTACGGGGATGACATCTGACAGGCGCGTGAGTACGAACATGGGCGAGTGAGTGGCGGCGGTGCGGGTCGGGTCGGGTCGGGTGGAGACGGCTTAAGTGCGAAACCAGGTGTTCGTTTTGGGACATTGGCGTCCGTGGAACAAGGGTCTGTTTGCCAGGTTGGCGGACGTTGAGGCGGTAAACCGAGGTTGTTTGCGCTTACTTACTTGGAACGAGGCAACGGTGCGAGATTCCATTTTTACACTGGTCAAAGCATCGCAGTTGACACGAGGTCAGAACGATAGACAACGAGGTTCGTATCGATCCATGAGCGATGATTCCGTCTTTTTGCACGAGCTCTCACTAAGACCCGGATCAACTTTGGTGGTGGACCTTACGCGCGCGATGTTTTGTCAATTCTCTTCTGTCGCCACTAGTGAGTGACCAAGCACGTGCCTAGCCGGGCGCGTTCACTCTGTTGAAGGACGATGAGTGGACACAGCTCGTGTTGCTCAACTCGTGTGTAAAGTCACACGGAAGAGAAACAAATTGTCGGTTGTAATTTAAGATCCACAAGAATTTTGAACTATTCTTAGCCACTCGAGGACACCAGACGACGACTCCTGTGTCCAGTGAAGGCTTGCGCTAGCGGATGCCGGTGCGAAACTGGGTCCTGGAGCATATTCACAACCAGACGTGAATGAATGCTGTTCTTGTAACAGGGTAGCCCGTTACATGAAATTGTCATTAAAAACAGTTTGACAATAAAAAATATTACGTCGAATATTCTTTCAACAATATCACAGAGCATGATGATATTGTTGAAGATGACCGAAGGGTCTACTCATTGGTTGATATCGTGATGATATCAACCCACCAATCGCTGCTAGACGCGCGCAATGGGTGGTGAGTAGACGTCATCATACATTTAGTTACATTAGCATAATTAAGTCAGGACAACAGAGATTCATATCTCTGTTCTCCTGAAGTTATAGGACTTGATTATATTAATACAGCTTTACTTTTACCAGAGACTAGTCTGACTACTTAGTCTCCTTTCCCTTCCTCTGTGTTCCTTCAACACCTAGCAGGGCACTGTCGACCACTGTTGTCAGTGGAAGTATACTCCGTACTGGTCAACCAGTACGTAGTCAACAGTGCCCCGTTACACCTGGTAGCACTTCGTAGTCCGTCCAAGGGCCACAACCCCATCGCCCAACATGAACATGTTGGATGATGTAGACGGCGACAGCTTTCACGGAACCCGTGAAAGCTACTCCCATTGGAGCGACATCGAATGGAGTGCGATCGAACGAATGATTCGACCGTTAGCGAGGAAGCCATATGGGCCATGCTATCCTCAAGAGATAGGGACCAGCAACATGTCGTCATTAGCAAGTTCTTGCAACAAGAACTTGATGAGTCGCGAGCGCAGGTGACCTTGTTACAAAAACAAGATCACCAGCGGGCCGAAGCACTGAGACAACAACAGTCTCATTCCGCAGAGTCGACGCGTGAGCATCGACGGGAGTCTCTAAAACTAGAGGTCTCCAAGTATCGGAAGTCGAGGAAGACTCCGTGTTGAGGTGGTTCGTCGAGCTGGACGATGCTCGTCGCATCGACGACGAGCGAACGCAAGTTGCATTCGCTCAGTCGTACTTGGCAGGAGAAGCCAGAGCTTGGACCCTGAACCTCAAGTTTACGACGCAAATGTGTTTGGGTCGTTAAGGATCTTTGAGGCCCATCTCAGTGAGACGTTCGAGCCGCCCAGAGCAGAGTTCAGGACTCTTTCGGAGCTCCTTCAACTCAAGCAGGGTAAGCGTAAGGTTCACGCTTACGCCCAACGTGTACGCTACCTTGCAAGCTGTATGATAGTGAACCCTGTGAGTGAGTTTGTGTTGATCACAATCCTTATTCAAGGGCTTTCATTCGGCCTCGTTAGGGACCACCTGTTCCGCGGAGAGCTAAAGACGCTCTCAGAGGCAATCTTCGCAGCGGAGCAAGAAGATTATAGCGTGAGACAGGCTCACGCTACGTTGACCCCGCATCGTCCACAGAGACGATTAGCAGTCGGAGGTCCAGAACCAATGTACCTCTGTAATATCGAGGGCGAGAAACCTCGCCCTATGAATGACAAGCGAATGGTGAGATGCCATTGCTGTCATAAACTGGGACACTACGCATATGAATGCAGTATCCCCCGCTCAGGACCTCGTGGTGCTGAGCGCAGTATTCACCCACCAGCAAGAAGAACTAAGAGGCGAGGGTCCGTTGCTGTTGCGAAGTCGCAACAACGAGGTGGACCATTAAAAACGGTCAGGATCAGTAGGGGCTGAGCGCCCTACTGATCCAGCAACATCAAGAGAATGTGCAAATCTCCTGAAGAAGGTTGCTCCCGACACACAATTTCCCTGTGCCTCTGCACCTGGTAATGAGGTGTCTCTCATCACCTAGATATTGGAAATGACAAAGGACTTGTCACTTTGCGCCCTAGATGACTGCGGGGTGTCAAGCAATTTCGTTCGTCGCCAGTCGCTAGTGGCAGGAAGTTTTAACTTCGTGGAGCGGGAGATCCCTCCAACGAGAATGACGGTGCGACTAGCGACAGGCTCATCGATCATTGTGAAGAAACGTGTAGTCGGAATCCACTACACGTTAAAAGGCGAACAGTACGATGATGATTTCATCGTGCTTGACCTAGAGTACAAGTTCGACGTCATCCTAGGACTACCTTGTCTCAGGAGATATGAGCCAAGGGTGAGTTGGAAGTATCGATCGGTTACGATACCTGCTACTTGTGTGACGCATATCTTGGAATGCCCACACTCACGTGGGTGTACTACGAAAGATTGCGATGGCCTCACTTGTGGTACGGTCGTTAGCGCGACTGTACAAGATCACAATGTAGATGATCACTACATTGTGGCGAAAGCTTCCCAGATCCTGTGGAAGTGATTTCCCAGGAGGTAATCGAGACACTGAATGTCTTGGTTAATGATAGATCAAGCGTAGGCGCTTACACACTTGATCTGGTTGCGCCTTCGAAGTTAACTTCGGAGATAACTCAATTTCCGACGCCAGAACCGAAACGGTTCTTGCGTGATCTGCGTAGTGGCAAAGTCAAGCAGATCTGTGTACTCGTCGCGGAGGACGAGTACATTACCGATATTCGATCGGCAACGGTGTTTACTGAGACCGAGAGGGTTCTCATCAGTTCATCGATGGACGAAAGTGTCATCGATGAGAAGACTCGGATTGAGAGATATGAATCTCAATCCTGGAAGTCGCTTCAGGCAAATCCTTTGTATAAGGATTTGATCGAATTCAAGGATGTATTACCTGAATCCGTGCCTTGCGAGTTGCCTAAGGACAAAAACACCCGACACGAGATCGAGCTCCAACCGGGCTCGAAGTATTGTGTCATGAAGCAGTGGCCACTGCCTCGTGAACAAGTGATAGCGATCGACAAGTTCTTTGGCGATCGTTTAGCAGCGGGCCATATGAGGGAATCGACATCCCCTCACAGCTCTCCGACCTTCTGTGTGCGAAAGGCCACAGGAGGATGGCGGATAGTGCACGCGTTCAACAAGTTGAATGCTGCAACGGTACCGGCTCAGACGCCGATACCGAGGAAGGACGTAATCATAGATGGTATGTCAAACAGTACCTTCTTCTCGTCCATAGATATGATGGACGGATTCTATCAGATTCTCATGCGTGAACGGAATATTCCGTACACGGCAGTGAGCACCCCCGGCGGTATGCTGTGGGAGTGGCTAGTGATGCCACAGGGGCTGAGTAACGCCCTTGCAACAATCAACAGATGCGTTACAAATCTGTTGAGACCGGTGCGGGATTTCGCACCGAGTTACTTCGACGATGTGTTCGTCCATAGCCGGGCTATGGACGGAAGGACGGACGTTGAAGTTCACGGAACTCACGTCCGTAAGGTTCTTCAACGTATGCGCAAGCATAAGTTGTATGCCAACCTCAGGAAGTGTATATTTGCGGCAAGCGAAATACCACTTCCTGGGTGCATCGTGGGTAAACACAGCGTACGCACTGATCCCGAAAAGATCAAGGTGATCACCGACTGGCCAGTGCCATTTGATGTCAAGGAACTTCGTAAGTTCCTTGGACTAGCGACGTACTTGCACAAGTACTCGCGCAATTACACCGAGATGACTGTTCATCTTTCTTGCTTGCTTAAGAAATATGTGAAGTGGTCATGGAGCGCTGACTGCCAGCGTTCCTTTGAACGTATCAAGAAAAGCTTGATGCGATCGTCCATCTTGGCGATTGCTGACCAGGACAGACCGTTTCACGTGGTCTGTGACGCCAGCGATTTTGCTATCGGCTGTGCGTTGATGCAATACGACACAGACGGCGCATAGCGCGTCGTCTGTTATCAATCGAGTCAGCTGCAACCAAATGAACGCAACTACCCAGTGCATGACAAGGAACTACTTGCCATGAAGTATGCACTGGCTAAGTTCCGGGTCCATCTCTTGGGAGATAGACCGTTCATCGTCTATACGGACCATGCGTCACTACGTACGGCCGTAAACAGTTCACACCTCTTGCAAAGGATGGCGGGGTGGCTGTCCTTCTTCGCGGAATATAACTTCTCCGTAGAGTACAAGCCAGGACTACTTAATGTCGACGCTGATGCGTTATTACGTCGGCACGACTTCGAGCCAACGTCCCGAGTCAACAGTGAGGCCTTGCCCACTGTTGCGACACTGTCCATCAGTGTGCCGTCGTCGCCTTTACTCGACGACGTGCGGAAAGCATACGCAGGAGACACGAATCTCCTTCGTTTAATGGGTCATCTTGCGAACACATCCCTGAAATCCTTGTCGGATTTGCCGGCTCTTTACCGTTCCTATTTGAAACAATACACGACTCGCAATGGTCTGATGTACTATACAGCAGTTGCCGACAACACGCTTCGTGTCGTCGTTTCCGATCATGATAACCTGCGATTACGCATCATGTTCGAATGTCACGATGCGCCGTCTGGCGGGCACCGTGGCCGAGAAAAGACTTACCTCACGGTCAG